ATAGAAAATATATATTTCAATGTTGCGTAAAATAACAGGTATTACGTAGGCTACCATCTGCAGATGTAAACACAGGTGTACAAAGAGGCCTGCCAAATGTACCCATAGAACTTCCTGGTGTAGACACAGGCCTGCCAGGTGTACACAGGTGTTAGGTGTCAACGAGACAGGTGTGATATACGTGTGTCTGGGATGTGACAGGAATAGTCCGCATCCTGCAGGAGCCAGGTGTTGACACCTAATCAGATTTCCTGTTGACAAGATCGCTGCTCTGGACACCTCCACCTGCCCTGTTTACACTTGAGAATGATAGGAGTTTCCAGAATAAGATGTACACACCTTGAACCCCCCCTCTCACTATCTTCTCCACTCCCTGTGCTCCACCTCTAGTATAAGCAACATCAAAAGTAAGTAATTTTAAAGGTCAAGCATTTATTCGGATGTTTTCTTTGACCTTTCCGCATCAAGCAATCCACAGCTTCCCCTATTTAAAATAATATATATATATATATATATACATATTGAGCGAGTACAGGTTAAGTGAGTAATGCAGTAACAAAGGCTGGTGAAGGTTAAGGGCACTGGGGGTACCCTTGGACCTTCCTGATATTAGTCAAGTTTTTTTCCCCACACCACCCTCACAGTGCAGCGGGTCCTCACACTAGGAAAACTTGTCTCCTACAGTCTGTGTTTCCTACAGTCAAAGACCCCGGAAGGTGTTCTTGTGTGAGAGCACATTCAAATATGTTGATTTACTTTTTAAGAAGAAAAAAACATTTCCAAATTTATAGTCATTTGTTTTCAAATTGATTCTTGTTCCACAAATATTTTATAATGTTTAATATCACGTGGCAGCTAAGATAGGCTTCCATAAATGTCAGATTATTATGTAACTTCACAATAAATGCAAGTCAGCTTCCTAGATTGAAAGGGCCCCTCACCCACTCCGTCTCGCAAACAACAATGGTTCTAGGATGATTGGGCAGTTCCCTAATTATAGTTGCCCCCTGTACACCTGTACACCCAGGGATAATAAGACATCCTGTTAACTCTATAGAACGTCGCATTTTGTCGTATACTTAGGCCAAAAACTGATGTATAAGCAAATGGTAATGGCTCGCTAAATTGACATAATGCCTCGTTTTCTGTTCGTGAGTTCAATGGTAAGCTAGGTTAGGACATTTTAGTAAGACAATTTCTTGACGTAGGGAACAATCGCGAGGACGGGCTGAAATAGGGGACCTGGATCTAAAAAAAAATTGGCCAATGGTGCTCTAGCGAAAACGTGGTCCTGAATTACGTAACTCGGTATATCGATAAAGCTGGTACAAAGTGTGTGAGAATAGCTTCAAAATAAATCCAGGAAAAGCGTTTGTGACGAGAATAATTTCTTCCATGTCGACGAGACATCGGACCAAATGATGACGCAAGTCGAGGCTGGTGATGGACGCTTCCGGGAACAGCGTTTTGTAAGTAGGAAGAAAACTTAAGCTTCGGTTAAGAGTTAGGTAACAAAAGTTAGGTAATCAAACGCTAAAAGAAGGTGAGGTGTGACGTCAAACTCTAGGAAAAGCCTCAGTTATGTAAAACCTATTTACTGGATTTGTTATTGTTTTGGCCACCACAGCGTACTGACCAGCCAGCAAATATACTTTACTTCTAATTATATCAATACTATGTATAGTCATAGAGATTAAACTGGGAGACTTGGAAATTAGGGTTAGCAGCGACTTGAGTCTGAGAGCAATGCATCAATGCACGCAATAAATTAATGAAGATGCTAGGATTTATAATAACAAGCATTAGCAACGAAAGCATGAAATATCATCTTCAGCTGTAACCAGCGCTGGCGAGGTCCCACGTGGCCAACAGAACCCGGTTTACAAATAGTTGTAGAATGGGCTGCTAGCTACCAGGATTAAGTATAAGACAAGCAGTGGATTCATATATATGGGTGAGAGAGGGGGGGGGATACGAACGGGACTCACCTGCCTTTTGTTAGAGATTCAGGGACAGAGATCTCGCCCTCAGCGCTGACGATCAAACCACATTGTTTGATCCAATAGTCAGTCCAAGTAAGAGTCACGTGTTTGATCTCGTGTTTGTCACGTGTTTGATCTTGAACAAGTTAGGTGAGAAGGTGGTGGAGGCCAAGACCGTCAGTAGTTTCAAAGCGTTATATGACAAAGAGTGCTGGGAAGACGGGACACCACGAGCGTAGCTCTCATCCTGTAACTACACTTAGGTAATTACACACACACTTTCTCAGAGAAAGAGAGAGAGGCCCCCTCTCTCTCTCTCTCCCTCTCCCTCTCTCTTCAGAACGGGGTGGACTGAGAAGGGTCCACCACCACCACAATAATCAGGACGCCCGAGGTAAACCATGCAACAATTGAGGGCAATCAGCCCTTATTATAGGAAGAATAAATAAATAAGAAGCAAGAAAATTGTGCAAGTCAAGATGAATTAGAAAGTATATATATTTTTTATATATAAATGTCCTTGTAATACTTAATTTTATCATTTAACATTTAACAAAATTTAGCATAAAAATCGAATGATCTCTGAAGTGGGACTGGTCGATTCGTACATAACCGTTTCAGATAACGTTGGTTCGGTACACAATAAAGTGCGTTCACGTACAATTTGTTTATACAGGAGCCCTTTCGTATATTTGTAACTTCGAATTTTGTAGCTAGCTCATCAAGATTGTAACTTGCTTAGCTAAATAAATTGTAGGGTTCAGTCCCTGAGCCCATTATGTGCCTCTGTAACCCTTTCCACTACCGTCCACAAGATGGGTATGGGGTGCATAATAAATAAACTAAACTAAACACTCAACAAAGAACAATACATCCTAACCAGTCGTTATATAATGATATTCTCAACAGTAGATAAAAGAAAATTAATTGTTACCTAATACCAGAATAGTATAAAAGCTTATCATAAACTACGGGATTTGTAGATCAGTGTTTAAAGGGAATTTGGAAGTAATAATGATACAGCTGATGCCATCTGTCGGCACAAGAGAACACTATCAACTGGCTGGTCAATAATGGCCATAAGATACAGCTTACGCCATCTGTTGACATCAAATTACACTTATAACAAATTACCCCACAAAATACAACTAACGCCATCTAGTTTTTTTCCAACGCACTATAAATAGCCAAACAGCAACCCATAAGGCGGGTTGTTGTGCTCGGGTAGGAGGTTCCAAGCTCCGCCCACAGATGGTATGGGGTGCATAATAAATGGCATGTTATTGGTAGATATTCTTTGTTGACATTCACACAACAGCCAATCACAGGAAGGGATCAGCTATAGGTGCCATCCACTTAATAAATCATCTTTATTCAGCACACCATCCTTGCTTATGGCATTCTGTTTCAACTTTAATCTATCAAAAAATTGAAAGGTTAAGTATTTAAAAGCATTAATAAAGTGATAATTAAATACTGCAGGATGTAACGAGTGTTACAGAAACATGGGCTGGCTACTAGCTTGTGACGTCATCAGTGAGGGTTGCCTTACGCAAATAATATCGATGATACAATGCTCCATTCTCTTATTGGACTCGATTATTCAGTTAGATAGAAATTTCTGTCTTGTACAAAACGAAGAGGTTGTGTTTGGAATAAAGATATTGTTGTGCAAAAAGACGTATTTCTTAGTTTGCATATAATTTATAGAAAGAGTGTTGCCATTCCCAGCAACAGCCAATCACAGGAAGGTATTTGCCAAGAGTCCGTCTCCTTACTGACGTCTTCAGGAGCGACACACAGATCTAGCTTATGACTTTCTGCTTCATCTCTTGTATATAAAAAAATATGAATATTTCGATTACTATGATTATTAAAGGAATGAGATATAGCAGTTGTTACACAAAATAGCTAAAGTTTGTCATTAAAAAGAGATCATAGTGGATTTTGTAATAGTTTTATTGAAAGCGTGTTATATAATTTTTTGGCCTCTTATGGTCCTCGTCCCGGTCTCTTATGGTCTTCGTTCCGGTCTCTTATGGTCCTCGTCCCGGTCTCTTATGGTCCTCGTCCCGGTCTCTTATGGTCCTCGTCCCGGTCTCTTATGGTCCTCGTCCCGGTCTCTTATGGCCCTCGTCCCGGTCTCTTATGGTCCTCGTCCCGGTCTCTTATGGTCCTCGTCCCGGTCTCTTATGGCCCTCGTTCCGGTCTCTTATGGTCCTCGTCCCGGTCTCTTATGGTCCTCGTCCCGGTCTCTTATGGTCCTCGTCCCGGTCTCTTATGGTCCTCGTCCCGGTCTCTTATGGCCCTCGTCCCGGTCTCTTATGGTCCTCGTCCCGGTCTCTTATGGTCCTCGTCCCGGTCTCTTATGGTCCTCGTCCCGGTCTCTTATGGCCCTCGTCCTGGTCTCTTATGGTCCTCGTCCCGGTCTCTTATGGTCCTCGTCCCGGCCTCTTATGGTCCTCGTCCCGGCCTCTTATGGTCCTCGTCCCTGGCCTCTTATGGTCCTCATCCCGGCCTCTTATGGTCCTCGTCCCTGGCCTCTTATGGTCCTCGTCCCGGTCTCTTATGGTCCTCGTCCCGGTCTCTTATGGTCCTCATCCCAGCCTCTTATGGTCCTCATCCCAGCCTCTTATGGTCCTCGTCCCGGCCTCTTATGGTCCTCGTCCCTGGCCTCTTATGGTCCTCGTCCCGGCCTCTTATGGTCCTCGTTCCAGCCTCTTATGGTCCTCATCCCGGCCTCTTATGGTCCTCATCCCGGCCTCTTATGGTCCTCATCCCGGCCTCTTGTGGTCCTCGTCCCGGCCTCTTATGGTCCTCGTCCCAGCCTTATCCAAAGCGATTATATCTTTCAGAACAATCGAGTCGTCGATGAGAGATACACCTCGCTAATTACAGCAATAACATCAGTAATGAGCCACGTGCACATTACATGGTGTTGGTGATGAGACACACACACACCACTAAGTACAAGAACCTGTTCCAAATTCCCGTCCCTTCCAGCAACCCCGGGATGAGACGGGTCGAGGGTCGAGGCTCAGTCCTCGCCTCGCCCAGAACAGTGTCTGTGTATCCCTCCATCCACGTGAAGCTGACTCTCTCTCTCTCCACCACTCATCCTGCACGTGAAGCTCTCTCCCTCCCTCATCCTGCACGTGAAGCTGTCTCTCTCCCTCACTAATCTTGCACGTGAAGCTCATTTTCTCTCACTCTACCTACTTGCAACTGTCTCAGCATGATGGTGAGTACACCATAATTTTAGTGTATTTCTGTAGTTCTTGCTGTAGCCCGTCGCTGTGGCACACGTGGTGTAAATTGTACCAGAGGTGGACTTATAGCCTGTCAACCTCTGGAGGGTTATTAAGAACATTATGATAACTTACAGACTATAGCAAGTATACTCTAGCCCTGAGCATAGTCCATGACTAAAGTAGACTTTCAGTGAACAGTATATATACATCGAAATGGATGTAGACATGTAGATTAGAACAATCTCGGCAAGATAGCTACAGGGAGCCACCGGGGCTCTACCGGAAAGAGGCACTGCATTATATTCAATACTGGGTTTTATATTTACAATACCAATCCTGTTAATCATTTCTACGTACAGTATGTCCTAAGTTAACAGTATACAGGTGAATATATTTACACCGTACTGAGTGTATCCTTTGTATGGACAATAAATATTTACAATTTATCATGGCCTTATAAAAAACGTGCATTTTCTTGTAAGCCCGGTCTTGAAAACATAGAAGGAAAGTACTTTATTAATCTCATTGACTGTTTGAAACTCTTAAAATCCCCAATGTTTCTACACAAAATAATGGCAAGCATTTCTTGGATGACAGCAACAAGAGGTGATGCAAGTGTTGGTGTTGGCAGCAACTGTGGTGGTAATGACAAGTGGCTCCTGCCAGTACTGGTGCAAGACCCCGCCCCCACTGAACGCAGTCTACTGCTGTAGTCTGGCAGATCGCGTTTACCCTGAACCTCAATGTTAGTATGTTAGGTTGTTTTACTTACTGTGATTTGCTGTACTGTATATATAAATATATATTGCTTGAGCTTCATAGTGTGCTGATTTGCATTAATTGAACTCTCTAGACAATTTGTCTTATACTGTATTACTATTACTACAAAGCATTAAAGTAGATAAGAAGGGACTCTTAATATTTCTAAAGTACTGTACATACAACTGAAATGATTAAAACTAAAAAACCTCTTGTAAATAAAAAACAATTATAAATAATATTTACTGTATTTTGTTAAGTTAGCAATTATCAAAAGAAGGCACCAAGCCGAGGAGACTGTGAAGATGTTCAGTAGCACAATATATTGTTAAGATTTCCTATTTTGAAGTTAACGTCATTTTTCCACCAGTGCGTCCAGGTAGCTGTCCTCCAGCCCGCAAGGAATGTCCCAGGAGCCAAATTCCTGAGGTAAGTAATCATAGGATCTAGATAGTTCTTTGTCAAGGAAATTCCTGTATTACTATACAGTATTAGGCATTTTATCAAATGCTTTATATTGCATTAATTTGACATTTAAAGTCAGTTGTCTTCAGTTTCACAGATGTTGATTAGTATGACAAATTTTTATTATGGTCACACCATTCATCTTAACGTTTTACCTAAAGTTCTGTATTTTGGAATAGTTTCTTTGAATTTTATCATGTCTACTATATTTAGTCCTGATCTGAACTGTATTTAAAAAAATATTTTTCAGTATTCTAACCTCATTTCTACCAAATTAAAATTTTACTATAATATACATTTTGTCATTTTTTTCCAATATCAACCCTTTCGATCATTTGTACAGGTATGTCCCCACGATGGTGCCTGCCCACAAAAACAGAAATGTTGCTGGGACACCTGTCTTGAGCTCCACACTTGTAAGCCCATTCATCAACTTCCTGTGGAGCTTCCTAGCGTTCCTAAAGTGCCTGTGCCACCAAAGGCACAAGAACAAAAATTCCCCGACGTGTCCCAGCATGCTCGGATCAATACCAGTGCTTTTAATAAGACTGCCAAGCCATAAGAGGCTCAATTCAATGGGTGATGTAACAGTATACAAAGAGAAATATCAGTTTCTAATTCTACCATGTGCATTTAACCAAAAATTCATTTTTAAACAACAATATGAATTGTACTTGTTGTTCCTGTTTTAGTTTACACAAATTTGTAAAGTGTCTCAGACAACTTTGCCTGTTCAAAATATGTTTGTAGAACATTTCATTTTGAAAGTGCTTCCATACAGGCTTATCTTTTCCCTGGTCTTATACAAAACTTACTGTTATTTCTCATGGTACTTTTAAAACTGTAACTTTCTTTTATTTACTAAACATATGTACACTATAAATTTAAAAACAGATTGAGCTTTTAGTAAATATGAACAGATCCTTTCAGAGCAGTATACTCAGATGCTCCCTCAGGCTAGATCCTCTTTGGTCCCTTTGGGAAGGATCATACCAGTCAGGGTAAGGCGACCTTCTCCAATGGCACATCAATTTTCACCCCCCCCCCTCCCTCTTCCATCCCTTTTGAGTCATACTAGTGCTAGGGAAGCACTGAAGGAAAGATGAGTCACAATAACGTGGCTAAAGTATGTTGACCAGACCGATTGACTTGACAATGGTCCAGGACGGACCGAAACGTCGTCGTCCCTTCACCTTCTAGTGTGTGGTCTGGTCAACACTGAAGGAAAGTTCACTCCAGAACTTCAGAAAGTTCACTCGCACAAAAGAATCTGCTAAACCCTACTTGGCATCACAAGGACTGCCAAGTAGCACTCTCATTAACCTCTAAGTGACAGCTTCTTCACCAGCACTGGGTTTCTTGCCATTGTAATCGATGAAGCAACTACACAGGAATCCTGTGATTCCAACATGATGTTGGTGTGGATGCTACCATCTGGCATCATTCGGAGGCAACATCCAAGTTAGCCAGCTGGTGGTTAGCAAGAGTACTACTTGGCAGTTCACTGATGCCAAGCAGAGCTTTAAAGACAGTGTTTATGGATGAGCCTTCTGAGGTTGCTCCAGGCTGGAGTACCTCCCTATCACCTTACACTTTACCCATTAAAGACATTTCAAGAGATCTCTTTGCATAATATCACCCTCACCTGACTAGCATGATACTGTCCAATGGTATCATGGTATCAACAAATAACTTGCCTTAATGACCATCAATGTGGAATATCTTAGAAAAAGACTTTAATCTAATTTATTTTAAATTTATTTTAAAATAAAACCTATAAATTTTAAGCCTTGTTCATTCTAGTACAAAATTTGTCTCTGAAATTAATTCATTGATACCCATTTGCACAATTACAAAATTACAATTCCATTAACTCACAGCATAAATTGACTAACAAATCATCAAATATTGTATACATAATTAGTGCTTGCAGCACTGAACTATACAGTGTATGCCTGCTTGAACAGAGATTTGTACTGGGCCCCTCTCAACAAGTTGAAGCTTCTTATTTTTCACTTTTTTATGTCAGTCATAATTATGTTTTTAATAAAGCAACTGGCATAACACAAATGCAAATTTTGATCTCGGAATCACTTTGAAAAAATATATTGTTAAATATTTTGTTTCTCCACCAGAACTTTCATTATTTTACCATTACAACTGATCATATTACCCGAACAGAATCATTCCGTTGCACTAGATTCCAGTAGACAAAGTTACTTTTGAGCGAAAGTCCACTTTACTATACAGTATTTTAATTTTGGACATACCAGTTGAATTATTTTTGTAATTATTCCATCCTCACACTCTTCTAATGTACTAAACCATTCATAAAGATATAAAGCATACATCATATAATAAAACTTTTGATACATCCCCCTTCTAGAAATGATTAAAATTGCTTGAAAAGACTTTGTGATTGCACTCGCCAATCTTCTGAAACACCATCAAGAACAAAAATACTATGCTGTATTAGTGTTACAGTACTAACTTTATTGTATTTAAGTGCACTTTACAGTATATACTGTTTCTCTGACTCCACAATACCAACAATAACAGACTTCTTTTTTCTGACAATTTTCCACAATGCAAGTTCCATCTTGTCATCGTCACATCAGTTGCCTAAGTCGCATGAGCAGCTGCGGTGTGAAATGTGCAATCAATTGAGGAGCATGTCTCAGTAGCAGCTGCTTCTCTTCTTCCTCTAAGATACTCTTCCTGTTAATAAAGAATGAGCAATACATGGGGTTGTTCAGAGAAATGATGAGTCTATCCAAATATGATATATTGAAGAAAATAAGTCACAATAATGTAGCCAAAGATATGATGACCAAACCCCACATCAGAAGATGAAGAAAGATGATATTTCAGTATGCCCTGGACTATTATCAAGTCATATCAAGTCCAACACACAACTTGATAATGGTCCAGGACGAACCAAAATGTTGTCCTTTCTTCATCTGCTGATGTGTGGTTTAGTCATCACAGAATATACTGAAAATTTACATACCTGAGCTGTTCATAATGGAATGCATACTCCTCCTCTTCCTGGTGCTGCCTCATGATTGTGGCCCTCATGGCTCGTCTTTCTTCCAGCAGTCGATCCACAAGGAACTTGTGGTCCAGCTGCCGCCGCTTTCGTGCTTCTGTTACCAGCTGGTCAAGATGTGCCTCCTCAGCCAGCACCTCGAGGAGCTAGTAAAGCCAATTGACAAAAATTACAAATAATTCCTAAATCTTCTTTAGTATTTGTCAAAGACAAAACTTAGAAGGAATTCAATGACCAATAACTATTTTTGGATTCTGAAAGCAAAAACTAGAAATAAGATTACTCATGAAAAATAACCAATTTCTTTCTTTTATAATACTGTATATATATATACTGACTGAAGAGACAAAACATAATGGATATTAGTAAGAGAGAGAGTAGCGCATCATTTACCAGCTTCCTATACTCTGCTTCTTTCTCTTTCTCCTTAGCAGTTTGTTCTTGCTTGTACCTGAAATTAACAAGTATCTTAAAGTCTTTGAATATAATCATATTCCGGCATTTACAACTACTGAGAAATAAGCCTTATTTCCTAAACAAAATTAAACAGCCCCTCTTAATTAAACAATTATATACCTATATTATTGAAAAAGAAAATGTTATAATTAAGTAGAAAGTACATAATACTGAGGGTGATCATAACTTGTTCTATTCTTTTAAAAGGATCTACTCTACTAAGCAAAAATACTGTCCCATCTCTCAAATCTTGCATTCTAAACTTAGGCAACATAAAACAAATTGGTATGATTTATGAGGCTCACTTTAGCAATGTTTACAAAATTTTAATTCATGATGGTCATGTTACTAGTCTTTAACACTATTGTTTTAGTATTCCTTACCCACTACAGTACCCAAATCTACACTCCACACTTTGAAAGCAAATACAGTACAGGGAAATAAATAACATAAATGTATATGTATGTGTATATTTGTAAGTATGAAAACCGTATCAGGTAAACAAATCTAAACTTGGAAAAGGAAGGGGGGATTCTTTGAGCAATACTCCAGTCCTCTTCCATCCTCCTCAAGAAATATATATTTCAAAATTCATCAGTACCAAAAATTCAACAATTATTTGTCCCCGAGGAAGTCAGATTCGAGAGACTCGACAATATAGTGTAATGTTATCTGAACTCAATCACAGCTATATGGAAGTTACACTACTCTGTTATCTAGCAGTTTTGTTTAAAATTATACTCATCTAATGTATATGTTCATGTAAACCTATGAGAGAATCTCATAGAATCACCACCACAAAATATACTTAATGCAGTTGTTTAGTAATATGGTATGTCATCTTTTATGCTTCATTTCATTTTGCTTATATGATGTGGGAATCAAAGTGCAATTGAAAAAATACATAAATATAACATTCTTATTTGCCCTTACCGTAGTTGACTGTCCCATCCCTCTTTCAGATTAATCTTTGCTGCTTCTTCCCTTTGCTGTTTTTCTTCTGCACATTTCCTCTCCTTGGCCTGCTTCTCCAATACGTCTAGCTCCAGACGCATATCACGACAAACATCTCGCACATGCTAATGGATAAATTTATAAATGAAAGCTCATATATAAAGTACTGTAGTATTTTTGATCTAATTAAATTTTCTACTGGGTCAATACTTTCACATCAAAAATGTTTTCTGTTGTGCAAGTGTTTGCGTGCAATTAGTTAATTACATCTTTCCCGTTATAGATGTACGACATTTGTCAGTTACGGTCACTAGTACTGTTATGATTTTTACACACCTGTTCTGTCTCGAGCTTCTTTACCAATTCCAGCTCTCGGTGATTTTGCTGTAATCTCTGCAATTCTTCTTCTTGTCTCTTGTACTCCTTCTGTAGATCCACTATCAAATTATACTCCTCTGCTGATCTAGAATATCAAATATTAACTGAATGAATTGTAATTATTTTTTACTTATTACTAAGCTCTAAGCTGTACTAAGTCCCATTAGTACAGTCGGGTTCATTCACAACACACAATCCAGAATTTCGGGTTCGAATCCCGGATGGGACCGAAATGGTTGAGCACATTTCCTTTCACCTATTGTACCTATTCACCTAGCAGTAAGGAGGTACTCAGGAGTTAGTCAGCTTGTTGTAGGGTTGCATCCTGGGCGGGGTCAGTAATTTGACCAGATAAAAAGAGAGTACTGTACAATATATTACAAGTAGTTAACCTGTGGTATATAGTCTCTTCCACATGTTGTTTTATTTTCTATATCAGTTTCATCTTTAGTTACTGTCTTGATCATGCATAAATAGATTTTCTTGATAAACAGAAATCTTTCAAATCCAAGGTAAGACAAGGTTTAACTAAGACATATTTATGAAAAAATGGCATTTAAAATGTTAAGAGTAGGATCTATTTCTCAAGCAGAAACTAAAATTCATTTAATTTCTATATTCTTTAATTGAGACTAGCATGCCACTGTATATATAAACTGCAAGAAACATTTTGGCAATAGAATATTGTGTAGAGTGGTAGAGGAGATAATGTTATTATATATATTGTCTATACCATACCTTGCTAAATGTCTGTCTTGCAGTTTTTGTTCCTCTTGAAGAAGCTGTTTAAGCTGACTCTGCTTCAGTAGCATCTGATGATTGAGTTTCTGAGATTCTTGCTTCTTTTTTAATTGCCTTAAAATAATTACAAAATTCATAAGTTTGGTAAACTATTACTGTACTAGAAAAAGTCAATAAATGAAATCATTACAAGTCATTCTCAATTCAACAGTTGTTAAAAATGATCAATAATTCATTGTTACAATTCACACAATACTAAAAATGTATAATAAATGTGGGTCATAAAAATATCCACACATACTCTTCCATGTCTTTCCTCATCAACCTGTCCTCATCCACCTCAGACAACATTTCCAGGGTTTTCTCAGCTTCAGCTTTAGCTTTGTTTGCAGCCTTCTCAGCTATTTGATCCTTCAGAACCTAAGAAACATAAAAGCTAGAACCATTGTCTACCTATGCCACTCACAATGCAGTTTCATTATTAACTAATACCCTATAAAAAATAAATGGTGAATAACATGTTCAAAACAAACACAAGAATTCAAATTATAGTATGATCATACACAAATTATTACTATTTTTAACATTTAAAACAAGAATTAAGCTTCAAACAGAATCAGTCAGCTGCTCCTAAAGTAAGATCACCCTATACCATTGCTAAGACACTGGCATAGGCTATCTGGCAATGGCTATCTTTGCCATTAAATGATGAAACAAATCAAGTATACAGTGAATAACTTGCTCTTTGTGTCTCTAGTCTCTTTGCATGCTTTTCAGCACAGGTGATGGCAATAGACATCTTTTCTTCAGAGTCCAGCTTCTCAAGTAGTTTTGTGTATTGCTTGTCTTTAACCTGGAAAAGTATAAGAATTATATCAGTGGAAGGTAAATCTGGCAAATGAAGTTAAATTAATGTGCATTATAAAAGAAAAGCGGATCTTACATTCATTAGTTTCTGCTCTGCCTTCTTTTGAGCGATAGCTGCATTGTTGTCACGTGAGAGAGCACAAGCGTGAAGTTTGGATTCCAGTGCCCGTAACTCTGGGCTTGAGGACATGATCTGCCGCCTGGAAATATGACTATGTAAGTTACATATCACTATAAGAGTTTTATTCAATTATATTTAATTACTTGCAAAATGAAGGTTAAGCATCAATAAAATATCACAATTTTAAGTTTTCAACGGTATTCAAATTATTCGATCTGCGGCAGGACAGAAAAGGTTGGGCATAATTCCTTTCACCTAACAACTCTGTTCACCTAGCAGTAAATAGGTTACTTGTATATATCCAGTATTTAGATCAGATTGGGATAGAAAAATTAAGTTTATATTAGTTCATTATATTTGGTTGGAGGTACTATTAGAAGACTTCACATTACTCTGCACTGAAAGCAATGGGAGAGCCGAGACTTTACACGGCTGGATTATAGAATAAATATGTTACCTTAATACACCTGCATTCCAGTGGTTTACTTCCATACTTATAAACTGCCTTAAAAGTAATATGAACACTTTCTCAGTCTCTTCTTTATCTCTTCTAACAAAGACAGCTTATTTTAATCGGAATTTTGTGTTGACGCGCGGAGTCCTTAAGTATGGGTTATATAATAAAGTTACTAAAATAACTTCTATTATAATTTTATTTGAATTTAGTAATTAATATTAAAAACTTGATAAATTATACTTAATAAATTAAAAGTTTTAGTAAATTTAACAAACGCAAACTGCAATTGTTTATACATTTTACAAATATATAATACTGAACGATTGACTTAAAATTTTGCAAATTTGGTTTTGTTTACGTCGCTTAGAAAACAAATCACCGACAGAATTAAAGGGACCTAACTCGTGGGAGAGATTCTCAAATGCTGTACTTCTTTTAATAATAATAATAATAATAATAATAATAATTTTTATTTAGGTAAAGGTACATACATAAAGAGATTTTACAAAGTTTGTTGGCTTTATAGATAGAGCTAGTACATACAATGCCTAAAGCCACTAATTACGCAAAGCGTTTCGGGCAGGAAAAAACACTAATGACTAAAGCTTAAAACTAATGGGTAAAAAGAAAAAAATGCATTGAGTACAAATAAAAATAGAGGTAAAAGAGGGGGGAACATTGTTGAAAAAGCAGCACAAATACAATTACAAATTATTACAGAAAATTACATTCAAACAGCGTTGCTTTGAAAAACAAAAAAAAACAAAAAACATACATGGGTTGACAATAGAGGGGTAAGGTAGGTTACAGGGAATTTATTAGGTATAGCTTAGTTTTTAACTTAAACTGGTTGAGAGAGGTACAGTCTTTAACATGGTTGGGAAGGTCATTCCACATTCTGGGCCCCTTGATTTGTAGAGCATTTCTGGTTTGATTAAGTCGTACACTTTTAACGTACACCACACTTTTAAGTAGTGTGGTTTAAAAGAAACATAAAAAAGTATGTAACTGGTATTATTTATTGTGATTGATACATCTATATATCCCTACGCAATACTAGCAAGGATAAATAAATAAATAAACAAATAAATAAAGAAATGTTTATTTAGGTAAGGTACATACAAGAGATTTTACAAAGAATGATGGATTTATAAATAGGGCTAGTACATACAATATACAATGTTGTACGATAAAGCAATGATTAAGTAAGTATTGACATATATATATATATATATATATATATATATATATATATATATATATATATATATATATATATATATATATATATATATATATATATATATGCGAACAAGCCTGAATGGTCCCCAGGCATATATGCAATTGAAAACTCACACCCCATTTGTTCACCCCATAAGTAACTCGAACCCATATTGCCAGGAGCACTATGCAACTGGTGTACAGGAGACCTTAACCACTCAACCATCACGACCGTACAAAAGATGATGGTAGCCGAGGCTATTTCCCCATCATCCCGACGACACTATGATGGTAATCTTGGGCATAGATATTTTATCAAATCACCTCATTTTTGGGGGCCACGTGATCAACTCAAATTAAGTTAGGTTCTTTTAATTTGTCCTTATACAATTTAATGAATAAAGAGGCTTTCCTAATGTGACGATGTCTATTGAATTTTGTAACTAGCTCATCAAGACTGTAACTTGCTTAATTAGCTAAATAAATTGTTGGGTTCAGTCCCTGAGCCCATTATGTGCCTTTGTAACCCTTTCCACTACCACCCACAAGATGGGTATGGGGTGCATAATAAATGAACTAAACCAACCTGCCTTAACATCTTTATATTATGATAATCACATCAACATATCAGCGTTAAGATCAGTGTGAAATTCCTGTTTTGGCCAGAATGTCTATCACTGCATGAGTGGACTTTGTAATGTTTCTTTTCGGCAGCTTTATTTCCTCAGTTTCTGAACTGGTTTCTTTAGCTTGTATGTTGTAATAAACTATTCCAACATTTACAGTTGTTCTTCCTTGTGAAGATTTAACAAAAAATTGTGTTTGTAAGGGTGATAAAGTTCAGCCCCGGCAGCACCAAGTCTTACTCCATAGTTCCACCTTTGTGGGACTGGTATAAGCCTAACTTATATATATACACTGGCTGCCTGTCCCCCTACACAATGATTTATTATTAACTATTATTTACAGTATACCCGGCTAAGGCGAACACAGTACAGTTTCGTCATAGGAGATTCCTAGATTGGAATTTACTACCAAATTTCAATATATTCAAGTATGTTGAGTGAGAAATGCTGTTATTTTATGCATCATTTGTTGTTTTAATAATATTACGGCCATCTCAACAAAGAACAGTACATCCTAACCAGACGTTATATAATGATATTCTCAACAGTAGATAAAAGAAAATTAATTGTTACCTAATACCAGAATAGTATAAAAGCTTATCATAAACTACGGGATTTGTAGATCAGTGTTTAAAGGGAATTTGGAAGTAATAATGATACAGCTGATGCCATCTGTCGGCAGAAGAGAACACTATCAACTGGCTGGTCAATAATGGCCATAAGATACAGCTTACGCCATCTGTTGACATCAAATTACACTTATAACAAATTACCCCACAAAATACAACTAACGCCATCTCTGTTTTTTCCAACGCACTATAAATAGCCAAACAGCAACCCATAAGGCGGGTTGTTGTGCTCGGGTAGGAAGTTCCAAGCTCCGCCCACAGATGGTATGGGGTGCATAATAAATGGCATATCATTGGTAGAAACTCTTTGTTGACATTCACACAACAGCCAATCACAGGAAGGGATCAGCTAAAGGCTCCATCCACTTAATAAATCATCTTTATGCAGCACACCATCCTTGCTTATGACAGTCTGTTTCAACTTTAATCTACCTAAAAAGTGAAAGGTTAAGTATTTAAAAGCATTAATAAAGTGACAATTAAATACTGCAGGATGTAACGAGTGTTACAGAAACATGGGCTGGCAACCTAGCTTGTGACGTCATCAGTTGGGGTTGCCTTACGCAAATAACTTTGATGATACAATGCTCCGTTCTCTTATTGGACTCTCGATTATTCAGTTAGATGGAAATGTCTGTCTTGTACAAAACGAAGAGGTTGTGTTTGGAATAAAGATATTATTGTGCAAAAAGACGTATTTCTTAGTGTGCATATAATCTATAGAAAGAGTGTTGCCATTTCCAGCAACAGCCAATCACAGGAAGGTATTTGCTAAGAGTCCGTCTCCTTACTGACGTCTTCAGGAGCGACACACAGATCTAGCTTATGACTTTCTGTTTCATCTCTTATATATAAAAAATATGAATATTTCGATTACTATGATTATTAAAAGTATGAGAGTATAATAGTTGTTACACAAAATGGCTAAATTTTGCCATTAAAAAGAGCTCATAGTGGATTTTGTAATAGAGTTTTATGGAAAGGGAGTTATACAATTTTTCTAAATATCTTCTGATATGGGTGTTGACTTCTCAAGTTTAAGTTCAAGTATTTTATTGAGACAAGAAAAAATACATCTCAAAGGGATAGAGTAGCTTAGGCTATTTCTTCCCCCTCTACTTCGAGTCCGTCAAGGAACTCACAAATTAAGTGAGCACACAGAAAATTAAAGTACAAATTAAGTGAGTACACAACTTAAGAAAGAGTTGTCTAAGGTTCTCACGTAGACATGGAGGAAAGGGAGTGTGCCATCGATGCGTATAGTTCATGGGTAAAGTTAACTCGGATAAGTAGATCCTTTAATAGCGACAATTATATGAGTTTTTTCACGCATACGTATATATTATCGATGTATCTGCAGTAGATGCGATTAAGTTTCCCTGTGGTATAGAAGGTTTTCGAATGTTCAAATTTAGAGTAACCATGGGTTTTATTTGTATTTTTAATACAACAAAAATTAATTATTATAATGTTTCGATTATTTCTGAGTGGGCCTAAAACTTTATTCCCCTAAATAAATGCACATTATTATCATTATGATTGACTAAATCTAGTAATTGCAGGCGAGATCAGTTGTGAACGCCAGCTAGCGCACAAGTACAAGAGCGCCCAAAATTAACACATAAGACATGTAGAGACAGGCGTGTATCTTCTGACTTTGTTTTTATTAATTATTATTACATATTAAGCGTTTACTGTTAATACATATTATTATATATAAGTATAACTATCACACAGCAAATGTAATAGGAGTCTACCCAAAAACTGGCCACAGTCAAGTGTTTTGTGCGTTCGATCATGTTTGTGGCCTTCAGATGCGAAGTGTAAACACCGTCGGGCGACGTTCTTATGAAGCCAGGATTATGTCCATCACATCACTCAACTTCATTTAATAACTATATGCCTGTTAACTAGAAGATTTTAACTGTTAATAGTCTTACTTTGGGGTTTTAATATTAATACAAAGGGGTGTCCTTAATTATCAATAACATTAACCTTTACCTTTCTAATGCTAACGAGTTCTATGTGAAGCACAGTATCAAAGGCTTTACAAAAGTCAAGGTATATATAATGTCATAATACTTTTCGTTATTTGCTGCTAGAAATATGCTGGAAAGAATGAGAGTAAATAACACCATTAAACACATGAAATGATGAATGAGACTAAACTTGTTCAACACGAGCAGGCTTTAGTTAAACCATGTTATGAGGCCTTTAACTAGATTGAAGGTTGAAAGACGGGACCAAAGAGCTGAAGCTCAACCTTCGCAGGTACAACCATATGCAATCCCCGTGTCGCAGTGGTAACGGGGAGGATTGACTGGGCGCCAATCCCAAACTATACGCCTCTGTTTTTTGTTTTTTATTTATTTATATATACAAGAGTTCTTACTTTCTTGTAAGAATCGTGTTCATTCAGCACGATTTGGCGGGTGGTATTCCAAATACAATTAAGATTAAGAACCTGCCCGAAACGCTATGCAGGCTAGTTGCTTTACAAGAATGTAACAATGTTCTGTATATACATAAATAAAAAAAATGAATACCAAACATTATTATTATTATTTGTAGTAGTAGTAGTAATAGTAGTAGTAGTAGTAATAGTAGTAGTAGTAACAAGCAATTAGTAATTAATAAGTATTGGGTGATTGGGTTGAGGTGAGTGGCGAGAATGATCGCCAGAAGCGTTCGCTGCCTGACCCTCCGAGGGGACCCCAGAGGACCCAGGGCGCGGGGTTAGTGCCTTGTTTTGTTGTTGTTTGTTATTAGTAATGGCTTCATAGGAGCAGGTAATGGGGTTGACCACGCCTGGGGTTGACGGGGCGAGTGGTGGGGAGGCAGTAGAGGGGTGAACCCTGCTGGGGTGACAGGTCAGTAGGGTTGCATCATTGCAATGACATGACCGTCATTATGATGCAATGGACACATTATACAGGTTTGTAAGAACAAGAATGTGTATAAGAATGAAAGAACTCTTGTATATATATAAGTAAATAAATACAATAAAAGTTTGGTGTCCAGCAGTATCAATAATTAACCAGAGGTAACCCAATTATGTCATCGTGATGTCACACACCTGGCAGAAAATATATACTGTACATTAAAAATATTAAGTGTATATTATTGTTAGGTTAAGATAAGAAGGGAGAAGAGTGAGAATGTGTTGGGGGGGGGGGGGGGGCGAGAGAAGAAGAAAATAGGGGGGGGGGGGAAGAGACCCGGGTACAGCCGGGTACCGCATCTAGTGCCGTATATCAAACAAATGTCAATAATATGAGTAGAACAAATATACTAAATTCACATATAGTTAAGATGCCTAAAGGTTACATTCCACCATGGGTCGTTATAAAGCCGAGTGTTGATGATTTCCACCCTTTCCAAAACATCCTTTCGCGAGGTTCGTATCCTGGCCGGGGAGGATTTACTGGGCGCAAATCCTTAAGTGTAGGCTCTGTTTAACTCAACAGTAAAATGGGTACTTGGTTGTTAAATGATTTTTCATGGGGTCGTATTCCAGGGAACATAGGATTAAGAATTTGCCTGAAACGCTTCACATTCTAGTGGCTGTACAAGAATGTAAGAACTCTTGTATATATAAGAAAAAAAAAAAGGTCCAAGAGGAGCCATAATGTTTTCACCCTTATGTCTGTTAGTGTGTGTGGGCTTATTGTTTATTATGTGCTATGATGCTGTATATATATATTATTGTCAAGCCTGTCTTAACATTTACAGACATTTTTTGTTTTTGTAGTTGTGGGGAGTATTTAATGTAAGCAGTCCTGTAATGTGGAAGGGAGAATTATGATCCAACAAAATTGTGGTGAGGCATACTAGTAATAATAGGATAGGTAGCACAGAACACCTCTCAGACATGTAATAGCTGGAAACAATGTCATCTATTAATTAAATCTTACTTCTTTCTAGATTCATCATGGGAAGCCAAGAGACAGAATGTTCTCAGTGGGAACACTTGCCCTCTGAAACCAGAAATACAAATGGGGCTGTAAGCGTGCAGGCAATTTCAGATGTGCAGTCAAATGAAGAGCAGGATTCTGCTTCAGAAATGAAGATGAGCTTGATGCCATCTAATAACATCCTTCGCAACTTGCTAAGTGGAGGAGGGGAAAGTAACAACATGGCTGCAATCGGTAATAAAAGTTCAGTAGCTCAGGAACTTCAGGATCAGGACGATGAGCTGAGAGCCCTTGGGATCTCGGTTGTGGATCAGCTGTCACTGGAACGTGACGTGGAAGCAGCAGTAAGTTCAGTCCTGTTGTTGAGGTCACTTTGCTATCTAATGTTGTCATTGTGAGTTATTTCTATGCCTTGCTTTATACCAAGCTTTACAAGAATTGCATTATATACTGTTAATATGCATACAGCATAATCTTGTTTTACAACTTCCTTGAAAGGGTCAAGCTTTACATACATACATACTCAGGATGGCCTAGAAGCTACATTATCATAATACTATTTTATGTAATTCATTTTGTACATAGGTATAATATATATTATCATGGGGTAAAGGGAGACATTTATGCAGAGAAAATAAAAGACGAACATGGAAAGTAAATGATATTCAAAATACCATTTTCTTTCCCATGTGTAGACGAGGAGTCACAATAACATGGCTGAAATATGTTGACCAAACCACACACTAGAAAGGGAAAGGACGACGACGTTTCGGTCCGTCCAGGACCATTCTCAATCGACTTGAGAATGGTCCCGGACGGACCAAAACATCATCATCCCTTCACTTTCTAGTGTGTGGTCTGGTCAACAACTTCTTTCCCACGGTTTCCACACTCAACAGTATATTAAGAGTCAACAGCACCACACTACTAAGCAGAGCAGCATTTCATTACAAAAAAAAGTACAATTTTGTGTACTGTTGCAATAATTATTTATTTGGTATTTGCAGGTTGACAAAGCGGTTACCAAACACACTCGTAAGCAGAGGTTACAAATACTGAAGAAAGAAATCAAAGACATTCATATGAATGTCAAACAGGCAGACAACAAGTTACTTGAATTAAAAAATAGACTTGCAGGTATTATTTTTTGTTTTATTGATAGGTTTCTTCATAGATTTTGCAATATCCACAAAATTCATTAAGGTGAACGTTGACAGTTGAAATTCTTGGAGCAGTAGAAATAGATTTTGTTCAAGTTATGTTGTGCAATACATTAGGCAGTTACGTTGTATCCGATATGGTCACACTTGAGACCTGTTAGTTACTAGCACTTTTTGATTGGAGTTCTGTTTTTCCCCACCTACTGTAAGAACAAATTAATATGCTGGCCATTTACTAGCCCAAATGAACTTTATAATTTCTCGGGTTGCACCTAAGGTGCCTAGGTAACATCCAGGGCATTCAAATAGTAGTCACTCAGGCAGCACTTAGGGCACTCAGGGAGCATTTAGGGCACACATGGAGCACCTAGGGCACACAGGGAGCACCTAGGGCATACAGGGAATACTTAGGGCACTCAGGCAGCACTTAGGGCACTCAGGGAGGACTTAGATCGCTCGAGCAACACTTAGGGCACTCAGGGAATACTAAAGGCACTCTGGGAACACTAAGGGCACTCAGGGAACACTTAGGGCACTCAGGCAGTAGTTAGAGGACTTAGGCAGCACTTAGGGCACTCAGGTGCGTATATTTAGGCGAGTAACGAGACAGAGACAGACAATAGATGGATGGATGGATAGATAGATAGATGGATAGTTAGATGAACAGCTGGGAGGCAGACAGACTCAGGTAATGCTGGGTATATATATACAATACTGTATATCCATGACAGTATTTTACCAGTTCAGATATTTGGTATTTAGGAATGCGGCAGCGTGTTGTGGATCCTCGGATGACTATTGGTGTTGAAAAAGAAGTGAAAGATAAAGCTCGGGATCTTGGAGTCCTCAGGGCACGAGAAATATACCTTCGCCGGAAACTTTCATCTGCTGAAGTGAATGAGGAAGAGGTAAGGAGAATAGTGTACACAATCTTTCTTGTTTCTGTGACATTACCAAAAAAAAAAGGGAAGCGTTTCTGATTATTTTCCCATTCAGTGTTTTGCTAAGTTTGTAAGTGTCACTCATATAAATTACCATCAGATTTGTTTGAATATGGAAATGTGAAGTTGCTGCCACATTAATTATAAAATTTACTTAAAATTTAATTTTAATTTTAAAATTTATGTATGGCACAAGGGTGCCATACATTTGTAAGGAATTAATGTAAGAAATTGTGGAAGAAGTGTGCCCACAATTGAACAATGTTTGTGAATCCATCATCTGAAGTAGCTGAGATATAGATATATAGATAGGTTTTCAGCTGTGCATCTCTGACATCACTTGTAATTTCATCATGATATTTTTCAGCTTGATGATTATGACTTAGAAGATGGTGAAATATGTGATGATGACTGTGATGACATTGGGGAGGGTCAAATTGCATCAAGGTTGTCTGGAAATGAAAGGGCGAGACTAATTCGGGAAGGCCAAATGACCCCCTTTGGGACAACAATGACCTCTGGGGCCAGCAGAACAGTGTCAGTCAGGCCAGGTCAAGCAGTAATGAAGGAGGGTAGAACAGTGTTAACCTCTCAAGAGAAATCAATGAAAAAAGGTCCAACCAAAGCAGAACTGATTTGTTCTGGAGAAATGACTCCATTTGGGACTGTTATCAAAATGTCCAATAACAACAGCACTAAAACTCCAATAAGGTTTGTGGTTACTTTTTCCTTTTATGAAAGTTTGTTTTGTTATGCAATGCTATAAACTCTGTATTCTTACAATATTATATTCTACAGTTTGTGAAATGTTATTCATTGCTCTGAAGAGCTTTTGTTATAATACTATAATAATAATTTTATTTACAAGAAGGTACAATGGGTTTGTGAGATTACATAAGATTGGTATTTTTACATTCTTGCAAAGCCACTTACACGCATAGCGTTTCGGGCAGAAACGCTATTACAAAAAATAGAGCATGTTTAAGAGTTCATGGTGAATTAAGTGATTGGTTTGATATTAATTCATGAGCAAGTCAGGGCTGTGCTGTATCTCTCCACGATTGTTCAATTGATATATATATATAATCTATCTATCTATCCATCCATCCATTGACATGTGTAAGAGACCTTACACATGTCAAAGACCATTCACTTTTAAAAAAAGTGAATGCTGATTAAAACTGTATGATGGTGGTGCCAGATAGGAGGAAACTCTGTATAAATAATAAAGATAAACAGAGAAATCCAATAATGGGTTTGTATTCAATACCTAGGTTGTATAATAGGCAAAATTGAGTTTGTGCCAAAGAAGTTGAGAGAAGTGTAAATTGGTGAAGGAAAGTGGCTGTCTGAATGAAAACTGGTTAGACAGGAGATAGGAATACAGCATTCGCAACCCATCCTCAGACCAAGTCCATCCCTTCCAGCAGTTGACCCCAAAGATGCACTCATAAATTTTAACATGCTATTCATTCTAAACGGGAATTTTCTCAAATATAAATTAATATTATTTAATATTACCATATTGTACATATTTAAGCACTGGTTAGGTTAGGTGTTTAGGTTCTGTTGGCGATTATTTGTATTGGTAGTATGTGGGTGAAGCATTTACAGCGTTGTTATTCAAACCAAATTCGTCAGTGAAGCACTTCTTCTGGAAGTGTTCGAAAGTCATCAGTTGAGTGGTGTGTCAACCGGTTTTCATTCATAAACAGGGGGTTTGGCGGGTGCATGAAATGGACTTTGGGTCTTTATTTGAAGGACAGGCTGGCATATGCAACTAGAGGACCCCAGAGACCAAAGCCATGAGTAGTTTCAAGGCGTTATATGACAGAGTACTGGGAAGAAAGGACACTACGAGTGTAACTCTCTTCCTGTAACTACACTTAAGTAATTAATAACTATGGAGTGGTAGTGCCTTGCCCTTATGTATGGCAGTGATATGTTGTGTGGTAGAAATGGACACTCAGAGGTGCATTTGTGGTGTTAGGAGGATAATCAGAGCAAGAAATACAAATGTCATCTAGAGTTGCAAAGTGCCATATGGAAAGCAGAGTACTGTATATCAAGTTTGGTAGTACTGAATGAATGGTGAAGTGTGTCGTTAACAAATGTTTTTATTTATTTATTTATTTATATATACAAGAGTTCTTACATTCTTGCACAGCCACTAGCATGCATAGCATTTTAGGCAAGTCCTTAATCCTAATTTTCACACACACACATACATGCACACACACATCCCCAAGAAGCAACCCGTAGCAGCTGTCTAACTCCCAGGTACCTATTTACTGCTAGGTGAATAGGACATCAGGGTGAAAGAAACTCTACCCATTTGTTTCTGCCTCTACCGGGGATCGAACCCGGACCCTTAGAATTACGAACACTGAGCGCTGTCCACTCAGCCGCCGGGCCCCCTATTGAGGGAAATTGAGGGAAGGTGGAGTGGAAAGTCTAGAACAAGATTGAGACATGGTGTGGAAGCAGGAATTAAGAGTGAACATTGCACTGTCTTAATACATTTGAGAGAGTAAAACACCTTTTCTTTCCTTACAGATCGCCAGAGAAACTACAAGGAGGTTTTAGTGACTTTGAGAAATACCTAAAAGACCAGATTGATAGACAAAAGCAACACAGTCAAGCTAACAAAGATAGTAGACCCAAAAAGTCTTCAGGAGACGCAAAATATGGGGTTCCAAAGAAGAGAAAACGAAAAATTAAGGAATATATTGGAAACTTTGACAATGAGGAGGTTGATGATGAGGAGGAGGATGATGGCACTTCACTCTCATCAATAAAGAAATGCGCTAAGGAAGGCTATGAATCAAAGCTCAATAAAATCCGAGATTTGGAAGAAAAAACAAAAAAGAGTGCGAGAAAAAATCCACTTAAAATGCATATATTACATCCAAAGAAGAAAAAGATTGAAAAAGTCTCGGGAAGCATAACCAGTTATTTGGAATCTGATCAGCTCAAGAGAACTCCTCGTAAAATTCTATCCGAGAGGGTCAGTTTAGGAGGAAGTGAGTCGGAAGACTTTGATGTTGAAAGTGGAAGTGGCTCTGAATATGTTCCATCAGACCAGGACATTCTTGAGGAAGATGGTGACTTATGGGATGAGAAGTCTAATGTTGAAAATGCTGACATTGAAAAGAGAGAAAGTCATCATAAAAAGAAATTGAGTAAAAGAATTAAAAAACTTAAAAAGAAAATTGACAAAGATGAAGATGAATGGTCAGAGGATGACATTCCAAAAAGCAAAGGGCAAAAGGTTTGCAAATCAAGAGATGATGGCAATTTAGATGAATATGTTAGAAGAATAGAAAATTGGAAGGAAGAAAGACTTAAAAGGAAACAAGATAAGATTTTACGAGGAGAGGACTTGGATTCCGAGGAGGAGGAGGAAGAAGGTTACGAGGAATTTGATGGGGGTTTCAAAATTCCATTACTAATTTGGAATAAACTTTACAAATACCAGCGGACTTGTGTGAAATGGCTTTGGGAACTTCACATGCAGAGTTGCGGAGGGATCCTTGGGGATGAAATGGGACTTGGAAAAACTATCCAGATAATAGCCTTTTTGGTAGGATTATCCTATTCTCGCTTGACTAGCCATCAAGCACCATGGAAGGGCCTGGGCCCTGTGTTGATAGTGTGCCCAGCTACAGTGCTTCACCAGTGGGTGAAGGAGTTCCATAAGTGGTGGCCACCATTCAGAGTTGCGGTTCTGCATGAGTCGGGAACTTTCATTGGAACCAGGTCTGCTCTTATACATAATATTAATAGGTTAGTAGCTTGGTGTATATGTGTATACAGTATAGTATATGTATATATACATATTAACAGTTGAGTACAAAATATATATATAATATACTGTACCTGTACTGTATTTTCTATTTAAAATAATTTTGTATTTCTGCTAATAATAACAAATTCTAAATTCATTTTTTTAGGATATTGCAGGTATATAAGATCACAAACTGATCCTCCATTGTTCATGAATGTAATTAAGTCATAAAAAGGAACAATTTTAATGGAACAATGAAGTTAACTCCAAACTCGCCAAATTTTGACAACCTGCTTATATATGGTAGTCTGAATTATTAAGAATCAAATATACTGTATTAAATGAAATTGTTTCAGAATAGATAAGGAAAATGAATAGACAAAAATATGTCGATGTAATGCACTTTCCTCTTTATTATAACTTATAGCAGACTTCCATGATAAATATAACACACTAGCCACACAAATTTTGATAAATATATTTACTGTACATGAAAAACCAAATTGGTAGCCAGGTCCTGGGCCACATTACATTGAATGTTATACTAATCCCAAAGTATTAACATAAGAAGCTTTCATATCTATCCGTAATACATATTATAATCCTAAGAAAAGGTTGCGAAAGTAGAATAGTAGTTAGTAGTAGCAATGTATTCATTTCCCATTGATTGTAGGTATGAAGGCATCCTAGTGACATCATACACCGGGGCACGGGACCAGCTGGAGACAATGCTACAGTACAGTTGGCATTACATTATTCTTGATGAAGGACACAAGATTCGCAACCCAGAAGCACAGATTACTGTTGCTCTAAAAAGATTCCAATGTCCTCACAGGCTAATTCTCTCTGGTATGTATTGGACGACATTGTCAGGATGTAATTTTTGTGGCAGATACAATACCAAAAATTATGTTAGGTGGCCCGAGTTAATTGACTATTAATTGTAGATATGAAAACTTGATTAGCACCGAATATTATGAGCAGTGTACTACTCACAAATAGTGTAGAAACTACCGGTGGCGGCTCGTAGCAACATAGAATGGAGGGAATGCGTCACTATCATATAAAGACTTTTTGTTATGACACATTAGTTAGTTGTTATTATTCTAGTGTGAGCTTGAGGGAGTCATACACCTGGCAGTGAGTGTCAGGGGGGACTGCAGCTCAGCAGCTCCTATAGGCGAGCCGCCCCTGGAAACTACAGTATTGTATATATATTTGATGGGTAGGCCTCTGTGCTGCACATCTGATTAGAAGCTATATTTGTGAGTATTACCTAATTTAGAGTTATGACTTCACAGGTTCACCAATTCAAAACAGCTTGAAGGAGTTGTGGTCACTATTTGACTTTGTATTTCCGGGTAAGCTGGGAACATTGCCAGTATTCCTGCAGCAGTTTGCAGTACCCATCACCCAAGGAGGCTATGCTAATGCTTCCAAGCTAGAGGTATACTTTACCTCATAATCTGGTATATTTTTGGCATGAATATATTGATGTTAGTATTGTATAATAACAAGTTTGCAATGTACAGCATATTAATCTATAAATACAGTAAATCTTTTGTATCCTATGAAGAACTCCTCCATAGTATAAACAAGGAACTTAATAACTATTGTTTACATTCATGCTTGGTAATTCGTTATATATCAGGGTACTCGTTTCCAATCCTTCCTTTAGGTTATCTTAAATGTTAGGGACATATTTGTTTTCCTACATATTAATTCACATTTCTTGGAGGAAGACAACTTTTGTGTCTGAGTAAGAGCTAGACCAGTGTGCACAACTTTTCATTTTGGGGATGTTTAGAACAGACATAAATGTTCAGAGAAGGTTATATATTTGACATTTTTCAGTGATCACGGAAGTACTGTATAAGGCATAAAAAACTATTCTAGTGGCAAATTTGTTTCATTTTAATGTAATTATTGTTCATTGTAGGTACAGACAGCATTTAAATGTGCCTCTGTGCTGCGTGACACCATCAACCCGTATTTGCTCCGCAGGATGAAAAATGACGTTAGAAACCATCTCAACTTGCCAGATAAAAATGAACAGGTAAAAATTTTCTTCTGTATTAAAATTAAAGGGGTTATACTAAGTACGACAAGTAGTTTACCCAAGTTTACTGACAGCTATACTGTCTTTAGTTGTGCTGTTGGCGGACAGGAAAACCTGAGTGTTTGAGGTCTTTTTAAAGTTGAGAACTGTTATATAGGCATAATAACAAACAAGAAGCAAAGGTTTTATAATAAAGGTTTGTGCAGTATATGTAAGGTAGGCTGCTCCATTATTTAAAACATTGAAAATCATATTGATGTTTTTCGGTGGTAGTACGGATCTGTTTGATTACCATTAATGTCAATGGGGACATTCATTTTGTATGACGTCCATTTCACATGACGACGACAGCGCCGGAACGAATTAAATTCGTTATTCGAGGTACCACTGTATTATTACTGTATCCCATTCCCCATCTATAAGGGTAGAGAGGCATGAGCCTGGTTTATGGAGCAGTATATGATACAGAAAGTGAAGGATGCTACAAAATTATTCTTGTCCATTCATCATTGCTCTACCCTCTACAATACATAGTAGCATCATGGCTAACCATGCACCATCATACTCCAGAAAATTATTTGCAGCAGGGCCTCACCACTTTGAGACTAGATGTACAGTACTCCTCGTGAGTTGTCATATACAGTTTGAAAAGTTCCCCGATGTACTAGTGTGGAATGTTCACTTGCACTGACTGCACAAAATTCTAACCTGAAGTACGCGTTTCTGCCCAAAACACTATCGGTGTTAGTGACTTTGCAAGAATGTAATAATACCAATATTATGTAATCTCACATTGTACCTTGTAAATAAACTAAATAAGTAAATAGTAGGATTTTGTCTAAGGGAATAACTGAGGAGCTGGGGGGGGGGGGGAAGGATAGGTCACAAGAACAAATTCACAAGGGCCATGACAAGGATTTGTTCATTTGATGCATAACACTATTGTGATTTGTGTGTGTAATAGGTCACAAGACATTACAGTATTAATTTACCTCAGCTGTGCTGCAGGTGTTTCTTCACTACTCTCATGTCAGAAAGATAGTTTTTTAAGATTTGTTTAAAGATACAATATTCCCTACTTTAAAATTGAATTACCACATATAATATTTTTTGATTGAAAATATTTTTTGGTTCTCTTCAGTTCTCAGATAATTACCTTACCTTCCTCGAACAGTATATGCCATTGATTTGTTTGTTGGTCAACTAATCAGAGTACTGTATACTGTGTTGTTTAAAGATCCATTAAATGGGCTTTCTTGAAGGGAGATTCTATTATATTTATTGGTAAATAGAGTTGTACAGCAAGCACTGAGACATGCCATGTTGTATCTGGTTCTTAACAGGTGCTCTTTTGTGGACTGAGTGAGGAGCAGAGGAAAATATACAGAGAGTACATTGAGGGGGATCAAGTGAAACGCATACTGGGTGGCAGAATGAAGGTAAGAGTGTAAAAATCCTCTGAAATGTGTTCAAGTGTTATGGTGGGGTGTCAGTTCATCTGAGCTATTGTATATGGGAATTTGTTAGGTAATGGTATTTGAGGTTTTGTCTTGAGAGCTAAACCACACATCAGAAGATAAGACAACAATGTTTCTGTCTGTCCTGGACTAATATCAAGTCAATTGTGATAATGGACCTAGACGGACCGAAAATGCCGTCATCTCATATCTTCTGGTCTGTGGTTTAGTTGTCTTATCTTCAAGCCACGTTATTGTGACTCATCGTCTTGACTACTTCAAACTTTGTATTACTCTAATACAGTTGAAGATTTAGGCAGATATCTTGGTATAGTGTATATGAAGTGAAAGTTGTATATTATTTCAGGTTTTTGTTGGGTTGATTAATCTTCGCAAAATTTGCAACCACCCAGACCTTTACACAGGAGGTCCACACACCTTTGATGACAATTATGATTTTAATCTTCAGGTAAATACAACTTTGCTGTCTTCAGTCTTCACCTAGTAATTCTTTTGTCGATAAAAATTGCAAGTAAATTTTTACCAAATGTACAATTTAATAAATGGACTATTACGTAATGTTAAAATTATCCATACTCCCGGTACTCCAACAGCCAGAGCTAAAATATGGTTGGTGGGCACGGTCTGGAAAGATGCACGTGTTGCACTCCGTTCTGCACTTATGGCTACGTCAAGGTCATCGGGTGCTGCTCTTCACACAGTCACGGCAGATGATGTGCATTCTTGAGAAATTCCTTATGGATGAACATTATTGTTACTTGAAGATGGATGGGTAAGATTCTATTATTCTAATTTGTGAATATTGTACTAATGTAAATTTCACTATTCCCAGGACGATGTTTCACAAGTGACTTTGATGATGTCAAACCATAGATCTTGTAAATGTCTTCAAAACTTCAAAAACTTCACTATTTGTGATTAGTGTACTGTAGCTATACATAGAATTTTTAACCAGTGTAAATTCTACAAACTTCAGAAGTTCTACTGTACAACCTTTTAATTGCAGAGTAATATTTCACTGAATTTTTAATAAATCTCTAATATGTTCCCAACTTACATTTCCAAAGATTCCGCAGTGGAAAGTCCCAAAGACATTTGCAGAATTTAGCCTAAAAATGTTCTCTTTTTTTTTTCATCTGGGAATTATTTATTTTTTAGCTTTATTAGGATAGTAAATTTGTTCCAAATATATCTTAGTCATTGTTAAGGGGTGAGATTTAGTTGTCAGCCATATAATGTCGAACACTATTTCGTTCATCACTTACTGTGTTGTATAGTTGACGTTACATGTGTCGGCCCCAATTTCAGCGTCAAATTTATACATAATCAACATTATTACTGTTTCAGTTTATATAGTGCATTTAACTTTTACAAATTCTGTACATTATATACATATAAATATATTATAGTCTTATTATTTACAGATTATAACACAATAGTTACAGTATCACTATTTTCAGAACAACATCTGTGTCCTCTCGCCAGCCTTTGATTGAGAAATTCAACAATGACCCTTCATACTTCGTATTTCTCTTGACAACTCGTGTGGGTGGGCTTGGGATTAATCTGACAGGAGCCGATAGAGTTGTAATATTTGACCCAGACTGGAATCCATCAACAGACTCTCAAGCTAGGGAACGTGCTTGGAGGATTGGACAGTTACGTCATGTTACCATCTATCGGTAAGGCTCTGCAGTTATGTACCATAACTCGATTCTGTTTTAACTAATAATCACTTTATGTAGCTTAAAAGTTACTTTCGAAATAAGAAGTATATGGACAATAATCCGTATGCCTCGTGTAATAATCATTACATGAGGCAGCTATTAATTTGTTTTAATATAGTTACTCTGCAAAATTTTAGGTGTAAACTAAAAATTCTGTAGATACCCCTGAAAGTTATAAATAGCGGTAACTAATACAAGCAACAGTAATCATTACAAAATGCTTCATTAATATTATTGTATTGGATCCTTACAGTTGCATATACTGTATAAATATATTTCTTTTAGGTATTCCCTGTAGGAATACTTATTGGTTGTAATTATAATTTTTTCCCCATGCAAGGTTTCTATGTAATATTTTGAGAATGCCACATCACTTTTTTTTTGAAGGGGGGGGTTTAAATTAAAATTTGAGCTTCTTATTAATATTGGGCAGTATAACCTCTGAAAGACATTTTTATAAGTACTGAAGTATGTTAGTTTAATTGGAAGAAAGTACTCAAGATTATAATGTTTGGGGGTATTTATCCAAGAGTTTATCAACAGTGTTGGCCTACACGTTTGCAATATAGTATTAGCTGGATCTGACCTATATTTATAAGAATATTGTATATCACAATACTGATTTTAAATAATATAATAATATTGTTTGTACAATATTACAATCACCATGAAATATGCTAGCATAGAAGACTAGGGATACCTTTCACAATTTCAAAATACAGTACTGTACTATGTCCAGTTATCTGTGAAAGCAACTCGTCAAATTGAGGTACTGTATGCATACTGCAATGGTATAGACTTGTAAAATTGGCAAACAGTACAATACAGAGTAGAGTACAGTTTATTCAGAGCAGTTTTGCCATAATGAGATCATTTAGTGACAATTTCAATTGGTGTTCTATAGCAAATACTCATGTCATCTATAGATAACATGCTTGTATTTGAATGTAAAAAGTTGAAGAAACTGGTAATAAAATAGGCAGAACCAGATTGTGTGTGGAGAAAGATCGAGGTATGCATGTAAAGATTCACAAGCAGCAAACAACGAATGTGACAATGAAAGGAGCGTATTAGGAGGCATGAAGGAGTGACATTATAACATGGAGGACTTGACGAGTAAAATGGTAAATATATTACTGTAGGTAATGTTAGTATGGTTGTAGTAGTTTTCTGTAATAATACAAGTGTTATAAGGGCATGAGCTTCCAAGCTGTATCCTAGAGTACAAGCTATTGAAACCCATCCTTACTGCTTAGAGATTAAAAGGTCACTAGGGTCTGTGTTATGCTAATTCTAACAGTAATCTAATAATCAGTGTACCTGGGCAGACACTTTTCACCCATAGGACAAACAGGGGAAATGATGGTCTTTTTATCTCTGCAAGGGGTTTTATTTCTAGTTCTTAAAAGTTACTTTATGAGGTTGATTTCTGGAGTTTAAACACGCACTCAGCAGTACTTGCTTTGGGATGGGCAGAATCAAAACACTTAAAACCAGCCAACCACAACTTAGTTATGAGTATCCTACACATAACTCTTAAATAAAGAGCACCACAGGTACTTCAACATCTTTGCACTTATAGTTTTGTTGAAAACCACCAAGCATCTCCTAATGTCAACTAGTCCTCTCTACCACCACCAGCAAAGTGAAAACAACTTAAATATATCTTAATCACCGGTGCGCTTCTCTGTCCAACCACCAGCATTCCAATAGTTTCTTTTCAAATCGTATCCCCAATGTATTCATTTCTTTCTTATTGAGTTCCAAACTAGTTTCCAAAATATAACACTGATTTTTATACATATTTTCCAATCACTGAATGTACTTGAGACCACAGTATTTATATTCCTTTATTGAATTGATGTTTATATTTTTTTTTTAGAGGGGAAACGTCCTCACACTGTGACAATGTACTGCGCATGTGCAGAACTAGCCACTGCACTGGTGGGAATTCCTAATGTCTTTCCCTTACACAGTTGAGTAAACACTAACATGTTCTTCCAAAAAGGACCCCTTCCTTAGTGTGGAATGTATCATGAAAGAATGGATGTTGCCTCAAGATGGCATTGCAAGATATGATTGAAGAGTATTGTACAATGCCTCCCTACCCCAGGTAAGTGTATTTTCAACCAACCCAGAGTTGACAACCCTAAACCTCATCTAGTGTAGTCTCTTGATCCTGAAAGATAGATTTAATCTGTTTATTCATGCACATATCCTATTTGCAGATTAGTGACAGCTGGTACAATTGAGGAGAAAATCTATCACAGGCAAATTTTTAAGCAGTTTCTAACAAACCGTGTTCTCAAGGACCCCAAACAGCAGCGGTTCTTCAAGACAAATGACTTGTATGAACTGTTCTCTTTAAATGAAGGCGATAAAGAGAAAACAGAATCTTCCGCCATATTTGCTGGCACTGGCTCAGAAATAAAAGTGGAACTCAAAGAAAAAACAAGCAATGTACAGACTCGACCATCTGGAGCTCTGTCTAATAATAAATCTGGAAGTCATCAGAGAATGGAAGCCAGAACCGAGAAAGCACCTTCAAGACAACTTAATAATAATCAAATAGAATATGAAAACAAGAAAATCAAATTCGAAGAAAGGTCAAGTGATAAGAACAAAGAACAGGGTAGTGTTGCACAAAATACCAAGGTGGAACAAATGAGAGAACTTGCAAAGCGTCTAAGCCAGAAAATTGGAGTTAAATCTTTGCCAAAACAGGAAAAGCAAAAAACAGAGGAACAAGAAGGAAATTCAAAAGCTGAAATAGCTAACGCTAGTGACAGTTCAGTGAACGATGTGGATAGTGTTAAGGGAAAAAATCAAATAGTCATAGGGGAAGATGTGCAAAAGGCAGAATTGCACAATATGATGCAGGCCAAAACTACGGAGGCAGCACCAGTATTTACAAAAGATCCATGTGAAGTTAGTACAAGTAATTTGGAGAATACATGTATTACATTAAATTGTGACATCAAGGATAGTGAGGATTTGAGCAATGCTTCTGTAAAGTTTAGTACAGAGATGAACAAAAATGCAAGTACATTTTCAGATAATAGTCACAAAATGCACAAAGCTGTAATCAACAGTGACATTAAAGGCAAGGATGTCTGTCAGCCAGGTGGACTTAAATGTACAAGCAACTCGGGTATGTTAATCTCAGAAATACCCGAGAAGCATAAAAAGAAGCATAAGAAAAAAGACAAACACAGAGAAAGAGAAAAAAAAGAATATATTAAAAAGAAAGGTCGAAAGTTTGAAGGAGAACGCATAGAATTCTTGGTTAAGAAAAGAGCTTACCGTAAAACGGAGGAGGAGGAAGAGGCAGAAAAGAAAAGTGCAATGTCACAGGATCAATACGTGTTGGAAAAATTATTCCGAAAATCAGGTGTTCACACAGCACTGAGTCACGACGCTATCTTGAGCAACGACGACCCTGATTATTTGCTCCTGGAGGGGGAGGCAGAGCGTGTTGCCAAGGAAGCGGTGAAAGCTGTGAGAGCATCTCGGGCACAGTGTTTCAGACCTCAACTTCCTGATGGTTCTTCACAGTCACTTAAAAGGAAACCTAAATTTGGGAATAAGAAAAGTACAATGTTTATGGATGTGGATAAAGATACAAGTGAGGGGAAGGAAAGAAAGAAAGATAAGAAAAGGCCGATGTTCAGTGGATGTATAGACGAGAGTGACGATGATGACACTTCAAACACAAATGATGGCAAGGAACTCGGTTCATTTAGCAAGCTGAAAAGTAAGGCCGAGGGATCAAGCGGTTTGTTGTCGTCTTCACAGCTTCTCTCTCGCATGCGTGAGAGAAACAAGGGCATTTCCACAGACTGTGATAATGATGACAGTGATTATGATCCTGAATACCCTTCAACGGCTACAGTCAGTATTGAAAGCATAGAACCGGAGATACAAAATAACATTGACATTTTAACAGACATTCGTAATTTTGTGGCATTTCAGGCTGAAGTTGATGGGAAAGCCTCGACTCAAGAAATCATAAACAGATTTAAAGACCGCTTGCCTCCTCAACAGACGCCATTCTTCAAAGCTCTTTTGACACAAATATGTGATTTTCATAGGGAAGTATCTGGGAAAGGAATCTGGTCTCTTAAAGGAGAATTTAGATAGCATACTGATAATTTTTTTCCCCATTTTATAAAGAAAATTTTACTTTGGTTACTACCAGTATTCTTAATGCCTGGGCCAGAAAGTGAAAATTGAGACCATTCCATGAAAAAAGTGCAAAATCAGAATTTTAATTAACTTGTTTTTGTTTTTCTTGTCTTGCAGATTGTACAGTAAAATGAAATACAGTACAATACTACTTACAATAATTGGGTTAGTTCTACTATTATGAACTTTCAACCATTTTCTCATGGGAACTTCATACAGATGAGCATCCTGAAAAAACAAATCAAAGTTATTTCCTAATATATTTTTTAAGTAATTAAAAACCACTTTTAAAAAGTTGTGAATATGCAATTACAAATAAAGTATATTTTTTTAATAAACAGTATATTTTTCTTAATCTCAATGCCTTTTTTTATATAGTATTATTAAATTAAATAAAAATAAACCCAAGTCTCACCCCCCCATCCCCCCCTGATGACAGGACCAGTGCATTATCATAACCCCATTGTTTACTGAATGTAATATGTATAGAGTATTATCATCTATCTCATTTTTCATGCTGCCAGTACTTCTGAAAAATTCTTCAACATGCCACTGGTATACGTTTTCTGATATTTGGCTGCTCAAGAACTCTTCGCTTCCCTGTTGCAGGTTTAACTGGAAGCTCATGGTGTGGTATTCTTGCTGGCCTGGGGCCAGATTCACGAAGCAGTTATGCAAGCACTTACGAACCTGGACATCTTTTCTTAATCTTTGGCGGCTTTATTTACAATTAATAAACACTTAATGAGCTCCAAAGCACCAGGAGGCTGTTTATAACAATAACAGTTGATTGGGAAGTTTTCATGCTTGTCAACCGTTTAATAAATGTAACAAAGCCGTCAAAGATTGAGGAAAGATGTACACGTTCGTAAGTACTTGCGTAACGGCTTCGTGAACCTGGCCCCTGGTTGCCAGCTAAAGCAGCCGGATGCTTTGCCCAAGTTATTTCCAGTGGCAGTCTTGTGGCATTTGCTGCCTGCCCCATCACTGAGAAGAACTCTTCTCCCCCAAAGTTTGTTTTACATCTTTTGTGGTTCAATACTGTACTAGCATACTCTGTTCAATGTCCCAGATGACCACAGTGTTCACCAGGTGGTGTCAAGCCAGTCATGGCTTGTATCCCCTTGATTATTGGCATGTTCCAATCTGGACTACAGGAATTGGAGGGGGTTCTGAGTGGGGCACCTCTGTTACCACCTTTGGACCAAATCTGGCTCCAAGGACTGTTTACTAAAGTGGTTATGCACAAGCTGAAACTTCACAACTTCACAACTTCAGATTCAGGCCTGCTGTAGAGATTGTCTGCTTGCTAGGGATTTGGATCTTCAGATTGTAGCCTGTCTTGGTTTCTTTGTGAACTATTGGAAATCCCAGCTGGTGCCATCCAGTCTCTGACTTAGTTAACGGTCTCTGACTTAGTTAACGTTGACCTGAAATAGTAGAGCAGCCTAACCCCTCGCCTGATTTTGACATTAGCCCAGCTAGGTTCCCCATCCTCAATCGGTACAAGAAAAGTGCCAAACTTCTTGATGGAAGGTTTCATGACATGTCTCTGTTTTGCTGTTAATTTCATTGCATTTGGAGTTGGCTTGTTTTGCTGGCCATAGACCAGAATGGGATGGAGGTTCCCATAGTATCAGGATACAGCCACGTCATATTGTACAACTAATGCACATTCCTAGGTGCCTAGCCGTGTGTCATCCTAGACACTAAATATCTAACATGTGTATGGAAAAATAATTTACAAAGGTAAATGCAGTACATGTCCCTTTATCAATAACACAATGCTGAAGTCTCGCCCACAAGCCAGAAACAACACTTTACAAACTTTTCATAAAAGATTAGAAGTAATCTGCAGTCATCAAACCCTGACACCATCAGCCCAAATTTAAATTCAAGACACCTATGGCAACTTATTTAATAAACTGGTACTACAGTATACAGTACAAATATATTGCGACATACTTACTCCATTACCTTTCCGACCTCAGTTTTTTCTTTGCAAGTATTAATCATGTATATCTGCAACATTTGTTATAGTCTCTAGAGGCAAACATCATCTTTAATACACCTTACTTATTCAACTTTGTTTCTCTCTACATTATCTTTGGTAGTTTTGTGGCTCTGCTCAACCAACCCTTCGTGAGGATAGGAGTCAAGGGGCAGGATCGAATTCTATTGGAAGAAATTTTATAGCAAATTGTGGCAGAGAACTCTTGTGTGCATAAGACTATATAAAATGCATCATGAATACAGTATTATAAACAATTTAGGAGAAATTAAAAAGTTTAGACATATTAATCACAATTTTACTATTACCAAAGAAATAATTACTTTAATGAATACTCACCGAAGACAATTAGAGCTATAATACAGAAAAATTAAATTTAACATTTGTGAAGTTAAAATAAAGAATGAATTATAAGAATGATCACACCAGTAGAAAATGACTAGTAATGTAATAAGTATTGAAAGAGGAAGTACTAGTTTATCTAAAAATGCTGTGGATAATGTGGTAAAACATAATGGGAGGAATGTTTAAGACAAAAATCTTTGCATGGACCACCATTCTTCATAATGGAAGGAGTGCAAGACTAAGGTGGTGCTAGTGTCCTATATTGCTCCCAAATACACAAGTTATCTATCATGGCACATTTTTTCTATTACCGTTATCCAAAAGAATTTTAGATCTGGTGTTTTTAATTTGTGGTCAACTGAATAAAATGTGATAGATTAAAACTAAAAACCACACCACTATTATTTGTCGTTTGCTTTTCCATTGTCGGGATCTGGAAGTCTTGTTATTCTTTTCAAGCTCACTAGGCAATGATGGCAAGCATGTCTACACACGTAGTTACTGGTCAAAGCATATGGTATTCAACAGACCAATGCACACTTTTTGTTTATAATAAATCTCGTGTTTCAAGAATCGCATTCATCCTTGACAGGAAACCTTTTGTACAATGATTCTGTAAATCGGAATCTAGTGACGTATCTTTAGGTGTCGAGAATTTAATTTTTTACATTTTAAAAGTTAAGGATTATTTTCATTCCTTTCTAACAAATTCAGTCTTCGCTAGAAAAAGAGTTTTGTCTATTCAAATTTATGAATTCATCACACTGGCTTCCAGACATGACGGAGCTGATATCATCAAAGCTTTTAAGGTGCTGAACAATTTGGAGAATATTGATTCCAAATCACTTTTTTCAAAGATCATATGTAACACACATGAGGAGCAACAGCTTAAAGTTCAACATCAATATATGACAGAAAACAGGTGGGTGCTCTTTCATATAGGGTTATAAACCCACGGAACCACCTACCCGCCAAAGCCGTAAATGCGAAATCCTTGCTGCATTTCAAAATCTAGCTTAATAACCTCAGGATAAATGGGGGGGGGAAGGGATGACCTTTGACAAGTCACCAGCTTCCTGTCTCTGTTGAGGCCACTAGAGAAATGGTGGTCCTCTGGTAAATTTAGGCAAATATGAAATGCATTAGACCATCAGATATTGTCATATTACCTGCCTTTTGAAAGTAAATATTTACAAACACACATTTTCACTTAAAAGCTTATTAACCATTATTAGCCACATCAAGTTCTCTACTCCTATACTATAAAAACATTTTCCAGAACTACTATGTTTAGGACAATCATCCTAAATATTCTTGCTACCCCATACATATGCATCCCCATACACCCCAATATCAAAGACTCGCTAGCATATTTGTAATACATTATATCCTGCAGAATTCCCTAGGCTCACCGTACTTTGATGGTTGAAATGATCAACATTTACTTTGAATCACAAAATGTGAATTCATGACAAAAAATTAGTATGAAGTGGATTTGTTATAATGGCCAACACGTCCAGCATGTACCATGAAATTTAAATTTGTCACACTAATAAACTTAAAATTTACAGAGGCCTTGGTGTCTGATTTTTATGTTTACTTCGAACTTTCTCATGGTATCTTCAACATTGTGTGTGTTGGCAGAAGTGCCCCTCACTACGGCCACATTATATCACAACGCACATACGTAATTAATGATTCACACACACTGCTTATCAACAAAATTCTGCAGCGAGTAGTTAGAAGCCTTATCGCTCAGTTTAGATATGGTCATCAAGAAAATACATTTGAGAGGATTTGTACATGTATATTTGTTACTCTACTACCATCACAGTGAAAGACAATCAAAATAATAACAATTACCTGCTTTTAGCATTTATACAATGATACCAAGCAAATTACAGATAAAGAAAAATAAATACTTTACAGTAATGCAAGACAGAAGCACGATATAATTTGGCTTGTCCCCCTCCATTATCAGGGACAGAAACCTGAAGTCTATTAGGCTACTGAGGCCCCATGGAGAATGACTGACTATCTCTCAGGATGCAACTCAACAGTATATCTACTCTGGTACACATTTACCACTAACTTACCACAAGCATTGGATGTATGAAAACATGCCCAAATGCTTTCTCCTGCCAAGGTGTCGTGCTCGGGACCAATCTGTTGCAAGTCGACTATTATGCAGTGTTTTATCTAGCAAACCTAAGATTTTTCCACCGACTGTAACTACAGAAACTCCTAAAGAAAATACCTTTTTCGTAACAGCTTTAAAGTTTATTTAAAATGATTACCAACTCACCAAATATAACCGTTACCAAAGTACTGTACAGTAATACTGTATAATCACATTCATTAGCCATTTTTTTTTTTACCCTGTGTAGAAGAAAATTATAATCCTTGTTCAAAATGCATCCTTAGCACTGCATTGTGGCATTTTTATAAAAAGCCAAGGCGAGATGTATACTATGATGAATATTGTAGTGAAACATAGCTTGGAGTTGTTCATTTACCATGAGACTAGGTAAAGCAACTATTTGTAGGAAGCCCTGTGCTCCTCCAGAGCCACCATCAGGACTCCAGCCAGCATGATGAAGCGCATGTACTACAGCCTCCCCACAACTTAATGACTGTAAGCCATCTAGCACAAGTACTGGCAACTGCTTGCCAACTTCCTGGCTAGTATAAATTTGCACTTGTTTGAAGGCAGACCCCAACACGAGAAGTAAACCGTACTGAAGCCGAGAGAGGAGAGGGACATCGAGAAGCACAATAGACCCACCAACAGAAACATCTCCCTTCTCCAACAACACTAAAGCTTGCTCCAGTGCTCTACAACCTGAATGAGGGCCAGGAATAGCCTCACCCCTTAACACCTGGGCTCCCGGGCACTGACAGAGGACCGAATCCAAAAGGCTATCGTCGCACACGATCTTGCCACCACTGCACAATTTCTCCCATGCACGGTGAAGCTCCCTGTATATCCTGATTACTCTTTCTGAACAAAATTTGGAGGAATCGATATAATGGAAAGGCTTTCCTCTTATTCTTTCAAACTCTATCTTCTCCAGGTGTTGTGATGAAAAACTTGCAGATGCTTGCACAATTTTATTTCCTTTTATATCATGACCTGGTCTCAAATTTGAGTAATCCTTTATATAACAATCTATAAATTGCTTTAGTATTTCCAGCTTTGACAGCACACAATTACTTCTCATAAGCATTGCACTCCCAGTTTTGTTCCAATCACTGTCCAAAAGATGTCGAGACTTATTGACATTACCATCAGTAATGGTTTTATCCACTGGTATTGGCACACAATAATTTTGTTCGAAAAAGAAGGCAGTTGCTTTATTTTTTAGCAGTTCATTATACTGTTTTTCCCACTCTGGCATACTCTGAAATAACATCAAGTTACGCTCTATGGTACTGACCTGAAAACACATGAACATGTTGGCACACTGCCTCATTTGCTGCATGAAGTCCTCTGGTATATCCTCCTGTGCAAACATTGATTCTGGGCGAATATCTGGCCCATAAACCTCCAGCAGTTTGTTCAGGTGCTCACTACAATTATCTTTGCCACAATAATTTATGGCAATAGCATAAACCTCAGAGTTGCCCTGCTTACTAGTCCCTGGTTTATACAAGTGAACACGTTCAAAAACACAACATAACAAGTATACAAGAGATAACGTTTCACTTTCAAACAAGGTAAATTTTTTAACCACCAGCGAGCCGCCCGGAGCCAATAAACACATTGCCCCGACAACTTCACATAAATGTAGTGGATGAGTCATCTTCTCTTGCTCAGCTGGATTAGCCTGGCAATCAAAACTGCCATCTGCAGTAACCAAGTGAACAGGCCCAAGACACTGAGCATCCTGCACAATGCTGTCCAGGTTGTCCCGCACCATCAGGTCTCCCGTGTTATCTTTGCCAAATGACCATTTCTTCAATGTGAGATAGATAAAGCGATCCTCTGCTATGCACTGGTCAAGAGACGTACCTTCATAGTATGGGTTCAGCGTGTTACCCAACCACTGCCACTGAAAGGTAATGAATCATTAACATTCATCCATATTGATGCAAATAAATGTAAACATTTCACTTCAGTTTTTTTTTGTTTTTTTTTTAAATATACTAAACACTACTGTACTTCAATTACTTGAATTTACCGAAAATAAATCTACAGGATTTATCAACCTATCTTTAAATCTCAATGATTTTATGTTTTTGGGCACAAATTTCTCTAAACCTTCTTTCCACTTTTTTTTTTTAAGTACTTTTCTTTCTCCTAATGACTGCCACCGAATACTTTACATTTGTGCACTCAACATGAACGAAAAATGTATAGTCCGAGGAGAATAAGGTAATAATACATTTAATGTATACAGTATCATTTATAGATTGTCTTCTCAACCAACTTTGCATTAGCTGGTGGGAATTAACACACCTTGAGGGATGATCTGTTTAATGCCAAGTAGTGATTGAGCGCCAAAATAAAGGCTCCTGGTGCCTCACACAAGTGCACGGAGTTGAACTGTACGACTTCTTCATCCAAAGTGGCACTGTGGTCTTGCTGTACTGCATCAGAAGTATCCTCTTGTGACCCAGTCTCTGCATCCGGTGGGATGATGGGGTATGCATTGACTATCTCGTAAAACTTCAACCAAGCCTGATGACAGTTCCCATACAAAATAGTATTAATGTTCATCATACAAGCCCTATTCTGTTAAAGGTTTAAAATTTCTTCAATAATTTTTTGTATTACAAGCAGATACCAATGAATACACAGTACAGTACTGTACTTATAGTCATTGAACACACGTACAAACTACTTCAGAATTCTGTCAGGAAATGTTTCACTTTGTAATTACATTTTTCAACTCGAAGTCTAAAACCTGTAGCAATATTTGCATTGAAGACTTTACAAGGCAACACAATAGAATTCAGATATAATGTATGTTCCAAAATGTCAATACACACGAGACTTCCTAAAGAGAAAATGTTTTACCTGAGTAACCATTTCTGGCTGAGCATGACGTCTAATTGCATAAGAGACCTTCTGGGTGGGGTTTGTGTTGTTAGTGTGTGAATGCCACACTTCTATGTCTTTGTCACTGAGCTGCTCTTTGGTCTTGTTTAATGATATCTTCATTGCCTGGAGCGTTTCATCCTGAGAGAGAGAGAGAGAGAGAGAGAGAATTTCCATAAGTTAAAAAGCTGAATATATTAAAAATGAATAACACAAAATTGAACTATAGTTTTAGCACCATTCCAGGTACATCCTGAGGGCATCATTTCTTCTAGACACTTCCCCTTCATGAAGGAAGCAGCCACTTGCACAATATTTCAACATATTTAAAATGTCTTCAGCAGCTTATGAATTTTTAAAGCATCAAGATACTTGATGCATTTGTGTACAATACAATAATGAGAGTTTCTGTAGATGCAGGTCTACACGTGCATGTACAGTATATGCTATATTTATCTTTGTTTTATGATACGGTAACTTTTCCCATTACTCTTTCTGAGCATTTGACTATACTTCACGACTCTTATAGGTGGAGCTGCTTATTACCATAAGCAGTAAGACGAGCAGTCCCTGCTTGTCTCTCTTGTGTATTAGGGTAGAACCGAGTGAGACGTGGTGAGCTGCTTGGTTACATATACTGTTCTTGCATAGCTGTTCCCACTTAGTGTTGCGATTATGTCTACTCCCAGGTCTTTTTTAATTCTCATTTCTTGTAATTGTCTTCCCCTAATGATGTAGTTAAATATAGGTCTCCTTTCTCCCTTACCCATTTTCATTATTTTGCACTTATTTGAATTGAATTCCAGCAGTTATTTATCTGCTCACTCCTGAAATTTGTTAAGGTTTCCTTGCAAGATTTCAAAGAGAATAGATAAAGTGGATAAAGGAAGCCTATATAAATTAAATAGGCAGGTAGGAAAAGGGGACAATGGTGAAAGCTGGATAACCAATCGAGTCTAGTCGAAAAGAGATGCAAGTAAGTTCTCATTCCCTGTACAGGCAGTAGGAAAGTGGAATGCAATGAAGGAAGAGGTTAATGAAGCACATTCCATCCACAACTGTAAAAATATACAAGATGAAATGTTAATATTGAGAGGAGTAATTAGTGTGCCAGGTACAAACAGCTAGGAGGCAGGGCATAAAGAGCTAGATCTTACACCCCTTTCCCTGTAGTACTTCAGTAAGCAATTCCTCACACCTTTATGGGTGCTTACCCATGAAGTTGCGAGGGATTTACGAGTGGGATGTCTTCTTGTACGACATGAAAGGTATTTTACAGCCTGCGGAAGGTGGGGAAGAAGAAGAAGGTGAAAATCAATGCTGCCTCTTTAATAGGACATGAGCAAAACAAAAATCCTTACCTGCCAAGAGGGTTGTGTGTACATAGTTTCTACTGCAGGAAGTGTCCAAGCATCATTTCCTTCCATTTCTGAAGGTTTTGTGAAAGTGAAATGTTTACTAAAGTGAGTTTCCACTTCCATTTGGGCTTTCATGTGGTCTGTATACTCAAGCAGTGGGAATTTGAAACCTTCCTTGCCCAGAAGACCCCGACTGCAGAAGATATAAAAATTTCATGAATACAGCAAAGTGATGAAGATTTTATACATATGTACCTTCCCCAATCCCTCTGTAAACTTCCCCAAAAACATCTTTCATTTGCACTTCTGTCATCACACTGAGCATATGCAATAGCCATAGCCCTTTAAAATTCAAATGACACATAAGCACCTTGAACTGCACTACGAGAAGTTGAGTCAACAAAAAAAGTATACTCCCTCCCTAATTCCCAACCACTTGGACTGGACAGTAGAACGACAGCCTTGCTTCTTGCAGGTCGTCGTTCAATTCCCAACTGTCCAAGTGGTTGGGCACCATTCCTTTCCCCCGTCCCAGCCTAAATCCCTATCCTCACAGCCTTTCCCAGTGCTAAATAGTTGTAATGGCTTAGTGCTCACTCCTACTCTTACAATCCTTGCTCTACTCCAGCGTTTGTTCTTGTTTCTTCTAAGCTTTGTCTCACAAACCAAGTACATCAAACATTCTCTTATTAAAAACTTCTCCATTAAAAAAAAAAATTCTCTAAAATGTAATAGAATCTAGTTAGTTTCCTTAAATTTCATAGAGTACAGGCAGGTGTGAACACTAACTCCATGGGGGTTTTGGCAGTGGTTGGGGAGGAGTTTATGAATACCTCTGACTCAATCTTCATATCCTTTAATTGTAAGATGCAAGCCAAAATGTTTGGTAATGTAATCACCACATTTCTATGCCTATTACATTAATTTGCACAATTAAATTTTTTACAGTATCTCATCTTATAGACTACTTTACAAAAAGATTGAATATTGTGTTTGAAGCAATACTGCAAAGCTATGACAGACAATATTTTAATAATCTGGACAAAGATATATTCAGGTACCCAATTACGCCATTTGACACAGCAAAACAGTATCTGCAAAACAATAAATAAAAGCTTGCATAGCATTTATATTATGAACTCCCCCAGTTACTACACATGACCCTTGGAATTTCAATTCCTATACTGTATTTATTATGCTGTACAGTATTTAAGAATACAAATTATTTTTTTGCCAACATTTAACAAATACACAAGTTACATTATTAAGAAAATACTTAATATAGTTGAACCCCCCATTATCCCAACACCTGTTTTTTGTATTCTCAGATCATCTAAACAGAAATTTCTGGTTCTTAACATCCCCCCACCCCATGCATTCCTATTAAACCACTATTACAGGTATTTTTAGCTCATGTGTACGGTACTAGAATAAATATAAAAATCGACCACAAACATGACTTGCTAACTTATTTGATATCCTGATTTTCGTCATTTTGAAGAACTGTACCAATTGGTTCAGATAATCTAAGTCGCACTGTACAGTATTCTATTTTTCAATATCGACTTCTCTGGTTTTTAAATCCACACAGTACAGTAATAAAATACTCACCTCCGTTGGTTGTCATGATGTCGCCTCTTTGACTTTGGTTTGGAGAACGTAAGTGGCGTGGTCTCTTGGGGCCTGATGCTCCTCTTCTCTCTCTGGGGACGAAAAGAAAATCCATCTTCCCCCTCTCGTGGTTCTGGTAATATTCTTTCCTCTACCTCCATCGCTATGGAGTCAGCCACTTTACTTGTGTTAACTATTATTGCCTCTTTATTCTCCTTTTCTCTTAATTCTTCTTTTCCCAAATTTTGTTTTGATTCTGCACACCTGTTCCCCCACTCAATTATCACTTAGAAACATCAGTGCATACTGATATACAATAGCTCAATAATACCTATAAAATGTCTGTTTTCCCCATTTTCATTCTTCATTACATTAATAAAAAACTAAGTGTAATTATAAGGTTGAATTAAAAAACTAAATTATTAACAATTAATAGTTCAGGCAACTGGAATAATTCTGCCCTTCAATATGGTGTACTGCATTAAACACAATACAAGAAAACTATTTAGAAAAATTGTTCAAAGGCCTGTCATAAAAATGATGATGTATATTCTGAAGTCTTTAAGCCTTTGTTTTTTTAGCAATAGAGTCCAACTGAGCTCGTACTTTAGCCAGCGAATCAATAGCAGCAGTGAGAGCTTCTGGACTAAGCTCTAGACTTACGTTTTCTATCTCACTGCCATTACGATCTTTCACCATCTGAAATTCATCAAATCTTTATATAGTTCTGGTATAGAATATCAGTAATTAGTTTAATACTACAGTATTATGAATTCCCTTATCTATCATTATCTCTTGCCTACTTTAATTCAGTACCAAAATGCTTAAATTAATTTAAATACTAAGTGCATTTTCCTGCTTTTAGAACTCATGCTTTTGATCCACCATGAACTGAGTATATATTGTATTTACTGAACACACACAAAATCATACAAATGCACTTGAAAGGATGAAACGTACAAATATGATGCTCTTCAACAAAATAGCTTTGTATAATAGGTATATGCCAGAAAATATAGTACACAACTGAAATAGTATTTACAGTACTGTACAGTACTAAGATATGAATGTATGTCATTAATCTCATTCCTATAACACAAGACGTTCGAGAGAATTACAAGAAATAAAAGCGACTTGATCACGAGATAATGACAATCAATTTCAGTGGTTTTCACGGAAAAAACTAGGATGCAAAACATGACACATTTTGCTGTAACTGCAGTGACAGTGACTACTGTAAAGCAACTATGTTTGGTAAACTCTTATAAAAGAAAATGTTAACACAGTAAATCTTACACACACAATTGCAGATGAATTACAACATATATAATAATAAAAACTTAAATACTTGTAAATGATAATATAGTAATACTTACCGTCATGTCAAGGAGGCAACAGACTTTTTTTGTGTCTTCCATTTCAATCTTTACGGCGAGTTCACAAAGCTGTGGAGGAACTGCCATGCTCCATGTGTCGTTCTCAGCCACAAAGAAAGCCCTAGGAAGCAGCAAAAAAAACCAGGGCGAAATAAATTTACAAGACAAGATTATTATACCTTTCTTTTCTTGAAAGCTTTATACGAGTAAGGGGTCTGAAAAATATGTACTGTATGCTCATCTATGACTGTAAATGAACCAGTTGGGCCCCTATGCTGACTGTAAATGAACCAATAACAACACTCCTAGAACATCCTGATCCTACAGTAATTTTTACCATGCTACATTTATTATTTGCCGAGACTTTTGTAATAATTTTATATTATTGGTTTTCTATTATCAGGGGACAGAAAGCCTGTTAGATTGATCAAGGTCACCCTTTTACAGGAAGCAACCCAACAGTTCCCTATCTTATGGATGCACATTTAGGGTAAAGTTGCTCATACCCGGACACTTAAAAATTATTTATGTTCCTGTGGCACTACACAAATTTTTATTTTGCTGAAGTTAAATTGCAAAACTTATGGCATGAATCATTTTCATTTGATTTAGAAATACACACTATACTGTACATGGTTTTAGTGTCAGGAGACAGAAAATGAGGCCTATTTCATTGCCAGTCTCCAGACACACCTAAGTATTCATAATGAATTTTTCGAGATGTCGTAACACTTTCACCCAATAGCAGTTTAAAATTATACACTCCCATAAAACAAATATAGAATAAATTAAATCAAACAATCCCTACAATTTGACGAATAAAATAACACGATTTTCACAAGAACTGAATCGGGGAAATATTCTAATATTTATTTTTTACAGGTTTCTATTATATACAGTATCATTCATATTTCACTAAAGTATATTATTTGATTAGTGTATTTAAAGTGTTCCTGGTACTTTGTTTAATGCACTAACACAGGTACTGTAAGTATTTCAGCGCCAAAGTCCAGAGACCAGTGACCTTTGGAAAACCACCAACGTTACCCTACCACTAGATGACTCGAGGCATCAGGTGTAAGAATCCATACCCAAACATATTGCTCTGCCAGGAAATCAAACTAATTATGTTGGTTTTTAGTAGACTGTACTAATTACTGTGCTATAGACTTTGACTTGAGAATGGTTCAGGACGGACCGAAACGTTGTCGTCCCTTCACCTTCTAGTGTGTTGTCTAGTCATCAGTGTGTGGTCTGGTCATCAATGTACTATAGAGTTGCGCTGCCTCTTAAGTGAATCAATTAAGCCGCCTCTAAGTGAACAATCACAATACACTATAAAATACATACATTATAGACGACTGACGACACACAATGAGCCTCCAGAAAACCAGTGACGATACCACCCTACAGCAGTCCAAGTCCTGCTTGAGAGTCTCACACACTCCAAGCCAAGACCTTCCATGCATCACATACCAGTGACAGTCACACAGTAGGGAAAGACAAAGGATAGCAGGGGGGAGAAAGATGCAGATAGCAAGGGGTGGAGTCAGATAGCAAGGGGGAAGATACAGATAGCAAGGCGAGGAGTCCGATAGCTGTACACAGGTAGGTACCACATACCTGAGGCAGAAGAGGGGTGCTTGAAATGTGTAAATTTGTACCACAAACTAAAATGGAAGGAGAGATGTGCCAAAAAGGAGGTACCACATACCAGGGAGGTAAGAAACAGGTGACAGAGGAGAAAAAACGTCGCCAGAATCTCCAAGTCTCTCAGGTGCAGGCAGAAGTTTGTTTACGTCTCGGCCTCGTTTTCTTTCCTCATCGCCTCGGCTCTTATGGTAGACTATGGCAAGTGGTCACTGGTCACTTGGTACACAAGACGTATACATGTATATAATGGTCAATATTAGAACCACAATATAATGCTATTAACAGTTAAAATCTTCTATTTAACTAGCATATAGTTATTAAATGAAGTTGAGTGATGTGATTGGCATAATCCTGGCTTCATAAGAACGACACCTGCATGTGTAAACACTGCACATCTGATGGTCCACAAACATGCTCTAACGCACAAAACACTGTGGCCAGTTTTTAGGTAGATTCCTATACATTTACTATGTGATAGTTATACTTGTATATACTAATATTTGTTAAAGGTAAACGCATAACATGTAATATTAATCAATAAAAACAAAGTCAGAAATAACAAACCTGTCTACACATGTCTATTGTGTTAAAAGTATTTTGGGCGCTCTTGTACTTGTGCGCTAGCTGACGTTCACATCTGTTCTTGCCATTGTACGCATCTAGTGCAAGGACTAGATTTAATCAATCATAATGATAATAATGTTTACTTATTAGGGGAATAAATTTATGGCCCACTTATAAATAATGGGACTTAGAAATTGTCGAAATATTATAATAATTCATTTCTTTGTTGAATTAAAAATATAAAACCCATGGCTACTCTGTCTATCTGCGTATACATGTATTCACCTAGTTGCGCTTGCGGGGATTGAGCTCTGGCTCTTTCGGCTCCCTCTCAACTGTCTATTAATAAACTTTTTTCACACACACCCAGGAAACAGCCCGTAGCAGCTGTTTAATTCCCAGGTACTTATTTACTGCTAAGTGAACAGTGGCATGTGGGTGAAAGAAACTCTGCCCATTTGTTTCCGCCTTCGACGGGGATTGATCCCCGGACCCTAGAACTACGAATGCCGAGCTCTGTCCGTTCAGCCGTCAAGCCCCCGAGGCCTGACATCTCTCCTCAAGGGGTTGTGAATAGGGCCATCTTGGCGCAAATCTCCAGAAGGTTACAAAGAGCAGACGCTGGAATGTTTCGAAGTTTATAGTAAACTCACCAACATTGGAATATGAATAAATGGTTACTCCAAATGCCCAGACTGGTGTAATATACGCATTAATACGCAGAGTCCTTGCCCCTTGTTCCGACTGGCATAAAATCCACAAGGAACCGGAGAGGAGTCTTCAAGTATTAATAAACAACGGGTACACGAATAGAGAAATCAACACCCTTATCAGATAATATTTAGACAACTGGTATAACAGAGAACAACAACGCCTTAGCAAACAACCTCTCCCACAAAACTATTACAAATCCACTATAAGCTCATTTAATGGCAGAATTTAGTCATTTTGTGCAACAACTGTTATATCTCATATTTTTAATTATCATAGTAATCGAAAAATTTATATTTTTGGATATATAAAAGATGAAACAGCAAGCCATGAGCCAGCTCGGTGGGCTGAACTCTCCTGATGACGTCACCAAACATGTAGCAAATACCTTCCTGTGATTGGCTGTTGCAGGGAATGCCAACATTCTTTCTATGAATGTGTAACGGTTCTATTGTTACGTAAAGTATGGTGACAAATAAACACAGACACTAAGATACTATATATATATTTGGTCGAATATACAGAAGTACACAGGTGATACGTTGGTGTGAGTTGAGCGCACTGAGCGTTGGTACAGTATCTCGCAAGTGTCTGCTCTAGACCACACTTGAAAGTAAACTAGTTAATGTTCCCTACACCGCTGCTTATATTGCTCGGGCAACACCTCACTGTGTTGCCCGGGCAACGCCTCACCTCATTCATCTCCAAAGGTTGACAGGAATATTAACACTATATTTGGAGCGAGTATATTATTGGGATAATCTACTCGCTACAAATGAAATACAAACTAAGAAATACGTCCTTTTGCATAATAATCTCTTTGTACAAAGCGGTTGTACAAAATAAGATTTGTTTTGTACCTGACAGAGATTTTCATCTAACTGAATAATATAGTCTAATAAAAGGGCTGAGCATTGTATCGTCGATGTTATTTGTGTGAAGCAACCTCCACTGATGACGTCACAAGTCAGGTAGCCAGCAAATGTTTCTGTAACACTCGTCACATCCTGCAGTATTTAATTTTCACTTTATTAATGCTTTTAAAATACTTAACATTTCAGTTTATAGGTAGATTAAAGTCGAAACAAAATATCATAAGCAAGGATGGTGTGCTGAATAAAGATGATATATTAAGTGGATGGAGCCTTTAGCTGATCCCTTCCTGTGATTGGCTGTTGTGTGAATGTCAACAAAGAGTTTCTACCAATAATATGCCATTCATTATGCACCCCATACCATCTGTGGGCGGAGTTAGGAACCTCATACCCGAGCACAACAACCCGCCTTATGGGTTGCTGTTTGGCTATTTATAGTGCGTTGGAAAAAACACAGATGGCGTTAGTTGTATTTTGTGGGGTAATTTGTTATAAGTGTAATTTGATGTCAACAGATGGCGTAAACTGTATCTTATGGCCACTGTCTTATTGCTTCGTAATTACAATTATTACCTAACCTATAATAGGTATAGGTTAAGTTATAATTGTAATTACGAAGCAATAAGATGCTTATCTTAAGATACTAACAAGGTTAGGTAAGGTCGGTGTTTTCTATGAATCTTTTTTAAGGGTATCTATTAGGTTTAGTATATCACCTATGCACGTAGTTAATAAGTCAATATTGACTTTACGAATTTGCGAGAACGGGTTGCAACAACGGGAAATTATCAATCATAATGATAATAATGTACATTTATTTAGGGGAATAAAGTTTTGGGCCCACTCAGAAATAATAGGGGCTAAGAAATAATCGAAACATTATAATAATTAATTTTTGTTGTATTAAAAACATAAATAAAACCCACGGTTACTCTAAATATGAACACTAGAAAACCTTCAATACCACAGGGAAACGTCGCATCTGCTGCAGATACATCGATAATATATGCGTATGTGTGAAAAAACTCACAGAATTGTCGCAATTAAAGGATCTACTTATCCGAGTTAACTTTACCCATGAACTATAGGCATCGATGGCACACTCCCTTTCCTCCATGTCTACGTGAGAACCTAAAACAGCTCCTTCACCACAGAAAGTTTTACTAAACCCACCAACACTGGAATGTGTATGAATGGTCAGAGATAAGAATAGTGAAATAAACGCAATTATACTCAGAGCCCTTACTCATTGTTCTGACTGGTATAAAATCTACAAGGAACTGGAGAAAAGCCTTCAAGTATTAGGGACACAAATTGAGAAGTCAACACCAATATCAGAAGATATTTAGAAAAATTATAAAAAACGCTTTCCATAAAACTATTACAAAATCCACTATGATGTCTTTTTAATGGCAAACTTTAGCTATTTTGTGTAACAACTGCTATATCCCATTCCTTTAATAATCATAGTAATCGAAATATTCATATTTTTATATACAATTAAGTGATGAAACAGAAAGCTAGATCTGTGTGTCGCTCCTGAAGACGTCAGTAAGGAGACGGACTCTTAGCAAATACCTTCCTGTGATTGGCTGTTGCTGGGAATGGCAACACTCTTTCTATAAATTATATGCAAACTAAGAAATACGTCTTTTTGCACAACAATTTCTTTATTTCAAATACAACCTCTTCGTTTTGTACAAGACAGAAATTTCCATCTAACTGAATAATCGAGTCCAATAAGAGAACGGAGCATTGTATCATCGATATTATTTGCGTAAGGCAACCCTCACTGATGACGTCACAAGCTAGGTAGCCAGCCCATGTTTCTGTAACACTCGTTACATCCTGCAGTATTTAATTATCACTTTATTAATGCTTTTAAAACTCTTAACCTTTCACTTTTTAGGTAGATTAAACTTGAAGCAGAATGTCATAAGCAAGGATGGTGTGCTGAATAAAGATGATTTATTAAGTGGATGGCACCTATAGCTGATCCCTTCCTGTGATTGGCTGTTGTGTAAATGTCAACAAAGAATGCCTACCAATAACATGCCATTTATTATGCACCCCATACCATCTGTGGGCGGAGCTTGGAACCTCCTACCCGAGCACAACAACCCGCCTTATGGGTTGCTGTTTGGCTATTTATAGTGCGTTGGAAAAAAACTAGATGGCGTTAGTTGTATTTTGTGGGGTAATTTGTTATAAGTGTAATTTGATGTCAACAGATGGCGTAAGCTGTATCTTATGGCCATTATTGACCAGCCAGTTGATAGTGTTCTCTTGTGCCGACAGATGGCATCAGCTGTATCATTATTACTTCCAAATTCCCTTTAAACACTGATCTACAAATCCCGTAGCTTATGATAAGCTTTTATACTATTCTGGTATTAGGTAACAATTAATTTTCTTTTATCTACTGTTGAGAATATCATTATATAACGACTGGTTAGGATGTATTGTTCTTTGTTGAGTGTTTAGTTTAGTTTATTTATTATGCACCCCATACCCATCTTGTGGACGGTAGTGGAAAGGGTTACAGAGGCACATAATGGGCTCAGGGACAATTTATTTAGCTAAATAATTCATTTATTCACAATTCATTTAGCTAAACAAGTTACAGTCTTGATGAGCTAGTTACAAAATTCAGTATAAGTTGTCGCATCAACAATGGGTTCGAGATCGACCACAAGTACAGGTTCTAAATTAAGCAACTGACATATGTGGAGAGCTAATGTCACAATTGATATGTTTGTCCTGCACACCGCCCCCCATCCAGTGGGCAGCGGTGGATAGGTTACAATCACTTAGTTACTACCTACAGTTAGCAAACTTGGGATATTTGGCTAAAATTGATCATTTTTATGCGGAAAATCCACAGAGAAACGTGAAAGAAAGTGAATATTTCGCCTGATTTTATTATATATATATATATATATATATATATATATATATATATATATATATATATATATATATATATATATATGTCGTACCTAATAGCCAGAACGCACTTCTCAGCCTACTATTCAAGGCCCGATTTGCCTAATAAGCCAAGTTTTCATGAATTAATGTTTTTTCGTCTACCTAACCTACCTAACCTAACCTAACCTAGCTTTTTTTGGCTACCTAACCTAACCTTACCTATAAATATAGGTTAGGTTAGGTTAGGTAGGGTTGGTTAGGTTCGGTCATATATCTACGTTAATTTTAACTCCAATAAAAAAAATTGACCTCATACATAGAGAAAAGGGTTGCTTTATCATTTCATAAGAAAAAAATTATAGTAAATATATTAATTCAGGAAAACTTGGCTTATTAGGCAAATCGGGCCTTGAATAGTAGGCTGAGAAGTGAGTTCTGGCTACTAGGTACGACATATATATATATATATATATATATATATATATATATATATATATATATATATATATATATATATATATATATATATATATATATATATATATATATATATATATATATATATATATATATATATCAATACTTACTTAATATTAAAACCCTAATGTAAGACTATTAACAGTTAAAATCTTCTAGTTAACAGGCATATAGTTATTAAATGAAGTTGAGTGATGTGATGGACATAATCCTGGCTTCATAAGAACGTCGCCCGACAGTGTTTACACTTCGCATCTGAAGGCCACAAACATGGTCGAACGCACAAAACACTTGACTGTGGCCAGTTTTTGGGTAGACTCCTATTACATTTACTGTGTGATAGTTATACTTATATATAATAATATGTATTAACAGTAAACGCTTAACATGTAATATTAATTAATAAAAACAAAGTCAGAAGATACACGCCTGTCTCTACATGTCTTATGTGTTAATTTTAGGCGCTCCTGTACTTGTGCGCTAGCTGGCGTTCACAACTGTTGATAGTGTTCTTTTCTGCCAACAAATTACTTTAGAATTCCCTTTTAAACACTTATCTACAAATCCCGTAGCTTATGATAAGGTTATATACCAGGCATGTATTAGGTAGAGTTCTGCAATTACTTTCATTTTATCTATTGTTGAGGATATCAATGCACTATTAATAGCCAAACAGCAATTATTGCTATTCTGAGCCCATTATGTGCCTCTGTAACCCTTTCCACTACCGCCCACAAGATGGGTATGGGGTGCATAATAAATGAACTAAACTAAAAACTGTGTATTATTCTAATCTACTTTTGTGTCAAAATTTCTTGCAATGTACCTGTAAAAAATTTTTGTCAATTTTACTGTTAATTATCTACAAATTATCTGTTAGTTTAAGGATTTGCCCGAAACGCTTTGCGTGCTAGTGGCTTTACAAGAATGTAAATTCAACTTAATTTTTATGTTATCTGTTAATCCCCAATGTACCTTTATGTATATAAATAAATAAATAAATATCGTCATATAACGTCGGATAAGGCTGTTCGTCGTATATCCAGTGTTATTTTTTTTATTGATATAAAAACACCAAAGTACAAACACAGGGAACAAGTGCAAAACAACATATAAATACAAACAATCGTGCTTAAAGCAAACACCATAAAACAGACATAAAATACATACAAAGGGTCACAGGAAAGCACACAGGACACAAGCAAAGAAACCCACCAACAGCATGGGACAGAAAATGCATATAATACACAACAAATAAATGACATAAGGACAATAACAAAAATGTACAAGAAAAAATACATAAAAATTACAGCAAATGTACAGAAAGCCTAACACCCCAAGAACAGAAAATGGGAGTAAATGAGAACACAATCACGGCCAGTCCGACCCTGGACACAAAGGAGCAGAACCGGACACAAATGAGGGCACCAATAACAAACATGAAATCCAAAAACTATATATTAGAACATAACAGAAAATAGGTACAAAGAATAAAGCAATTACAAGGACAAAGAAATAATCACACGCAGACACAACCCATGCGACACACATCACACACCACCCCACACCAAGACGCCCGCCACCACAACACACGGAGCGCGCTCAAAGACAGGAAAGAATAGACACCCAACACCCACAACCACACACAACCACAACACAAACACCCATACCAAAGGCAAAGCACAAAACAAATCGCAAACACAACAAAACAGGCCACGCAGGAGCCAGGAAACACACACCCACACCACACACACGCACAGACAAGGACAGGCCCCCCCCTGTATACGCAGGCACTGGGAGTAAACATCACACACAACACAGACAGAAACCAAGCACACGAATCACTCATACTTCTCCGGGTACTCCCGAGTCGGGAACCGTAAACAATAAGCATGCCAAATAAGTTGGTCGCCTTCAGCAAGCGGACCTCCAGGAGGCGCAGTAGGTCGAGGCATCGAATCCGGCACCTCCATGACGAAACACTTCCTGCTTTCGCTCTAGGCTGCTCGTAATTTGGGAAGCTGTTTGGCTCCTGGCGGATGTTATTAGTTGTTCGTGAAACACCAGAAAAAAAGGTTCCAGTGGCAAGTGGAGTTGCTGCAGATTAGCATTGGCATTAGTACTTATTATTGGTACTATTGGCATAGGTACTAATTAGCATTAGTACGTGGAATTCCTGATGGAACACGAAACACTGGATATAAGTTGGATAGCATTATGTTTATAAAATAATTAGATAAACACTAGTTCAGAGACCCAGTGGGTACAGTATTGAAGTGTCGATATTTCAACAGTGAATCAACGTGAATGGCGTTGCTTTTGGATATTATGTCCACTGGGAACACTTGCAGACCTATGGAACAAGTTATCAGATAACATCATAGTAGTTAACTCACTGATCATCAGTACAAAACTAATTATTTTGTACAGTAAGTAGCACGGGCTATGGTGAGCCCGTAGTGGACTTACCTGGCACAGGAGCGGGGCAAGTAGCACGGGCTATGGCGAGCCCGTAATGGACTTACCTGGCACAGGAGCGGGGCAAGTAGCACGGGCTATGGTGAGCCCGTAGGGGACTTACCTGGCACAGGAGCGGGGCAAGTAGCACGGGCTATGGTGAGCCCGTAGTGGACTTACCTGGCACAGGAGCGGGGCTGTAGGAACGAATGGAGGGATGTTTATATATAGGACCTGCCTCCCGTAAGCCAATAGCACTTCTACAGATTGTTATTCTTTTGTTCTTGCTACATGAAGAGTTTGGAGAGAGGATAATAAAACTCATATTCGGAGGAACGTAAAGGCTGTAATTTGCTTTAACACCAGGCCATACAATCCCAGGTCAGATCTCCTAAACACAAAGTCGGTAGTAAGACTTTACTGAGGTGTGACTCACTGATCCAAGACCTCCCACACAGTGATCAGAGCCCCCAGGATCTCCAATACAGTGATCAGAGCCCCCAGGACAGTCAACACAATGATCAGAGTCCCCTGGACCTCCAACACAGTGATCAGAGCCCCCAGGAACTCCAACACAATGATCAGAGCTCCTCGGGACCTCCCACACAGTGATCTGAGCCCCCAGGACAGTCAACACAGTGATCAGAGCTCCTTGGGACCTCCCACACAGTGATCTGAGCCCCGGACTCTCCCAAACAGTGTTCCAAGAGCAGGAACAACCCCGCTACCGTATGTGATCGAAGGTAACATCGTAGTCGGCGGCACACGACCGCCATGTTTAGAACATCTAAAAATACAGTGAAATAGCAAACATTTTCATATGAGGAAAAATATATATATATGTAAACATATTTTGTTGATTTCTAAAACATTTTCAATAAGTATACGTTGACTGGTGGGCCATAACAAGTTTGTTGATCAGTTTTATATATTACGTCGATAGGTACTCCAGTGGACCAAATGTACACTACTTTATAACACCGCGTGATGAGTAAGATGAGTCTTGTGGAGGAGTGGTAGTGTAGTGGTGACTGTAGAGCAGGTGGAGAGGGGTAGGGGTCGTAACAGGGAGGTGGTGATGAGTTGGGGGGGTGGTGGTTCCCCTTAAACCCCCGAGGGATGGAATATTGGCTCGTTACCCCTGGGGGAGACCACCACACTCGTCTTATCTCCTCTTACTGCTTCTCAGACTCCACCTGTGGAAGGAGAACACACACACAGGTGAGCAAGCTTCGTGAGGGGACGGTGGCGCGACCCTCCGCCAGCACACAGGTCTACATTATGCATTACATCCCAGGGCCGGACGAAGTGTTTGCCAGGGTACTAAAGAAATGCAAAGAGGAACTTTGCGAGTCATTGTTTACTATATTTAATAAATAATTAGAGTCAGGCGGAGTGCCAGAGTCGTGGAAGGTTGCTAATGTGGTTCCAATTTTCAACAAAGGAGATACATCACTTGCGTCTAACTATCAGATATTGTTTTCTTTGAGTGTGAGAGAGTTTCCCTGTCAGTCACTTCAGATCCCATATGTAGGTGGTCAAAATAATGTGGAAAATGTCATGGAAATATCATTGGTAGATACCGCGCTTATCTTCCAATGGATAATGGTGGTCAGTGTGCTTATCTACCAATGGGGGTCAAGCCAGTGATGACCTGACCCCCAGACCATTAATGGCGGTCTTTCCTAACCGGTTATGTACTCTTAAATGGCTACATAAATTAGAACTCTTGAAGAAACGACATTCTGAAATCTCAGTTGGACAAGAGTGTTGGGTAGTGAGCAGGTAGCCACCCAGGCCGACGCCTACACCTACGCCTCAACTAGAATAGGTCTACCTATGGCACCTTGTTGTTGTTATAGATTCAGCTACTGAGAACAAAAAGTTCCAAGTAACACGGGCTATGGTGAGCCCGTAGTGGACTTACCTGGCACAGGAGCGGGGCTGTAACTTGTATGGCACCTTATTATAAGAAAGTGATGTACTAGTGACGGACGAGATGTTGTTGTTGTTAAAGATTTAGCTACTCAGGACGAAGTGTCCATGTAGCACGGGCTATGGTGAGCCCGTAAATGGGCGAGATGTGTCGCTACCTTTTGTTTGGGAGATGTAGTGAGGTGGTGGCGGGGGTCCTGAGGGGCGGACCTCCTCCTCCTGTACAGTGGGTGGTTCTCCATGCGGGCCGCCAGAGTCCGCATCACTTCCATCTGAAATAATTCATAATACTACAAATACGTTTTAATAAGTAACGCGAGGCTCGAACTGAGGTCAAGATGCGGTAATAATATCAGGAAGCTTTTACACCGAGAAGTTATTATTCACGTCATTAGGCTATGGGAAGGAGAAGACGAAGATGGAGTACCTTGTTCTGGAGCTGCTCCCACAACTTGGCCTCAGCCAGGACGTGTTTAGCGAGGGCATCGAGCTCGGAGCTGGAGGCCACGCCCTCCAAGCCGGGGTCTGACCGCTTCTTGCCGCACCCTGCAACACGGCAGACAAGGGTACTGTCAGACTCAACCGCTCTCAGTAACACTATATTGCACACGGGAGGGCAAATGACTGAATGAAGGAATGGTGCCCTAACATTTGGACCATCTCTCTCTCTCTCTCTCTCTCTCTCTCTCTCTCTCTCTCTCTCTCTCTCTCTCTCTCTCTCTCTCTCTCTCTCTCTCTCTCTCTCTGCCTTACCTGTGAAAGCATTACAGAAAGGTCGCTTGTCCTTGCCCTCGAGGAGGTCTCCAATATCCTGCAAGAGACGAGATATTTAATGTAATCATTTGATGTAAAATATCAGTATAATACAATATAATTTATAACATAACACAGTCCGTATAATGTGACGGAGAGTATTGAGGACAGCAGGAAGAACACCAGCATGAAAAGGTAAACATCAAACAAATAGTCATATAAGAAGAGAGAGAGAGAATATGTAAAAGAAAGTAACTGAAAAACTTATAATTCCGGGTCACCGTAGCATAAGAGCCTCTAGATCAGCGTACCAGGTTTATAAACCCTCCCTTCTCAAAAAACCAAATCAGCAACATATAGAGTGAACACAACTAACTTTCCCCATGGTGGAGCACACCGTCACTCTAACTAGGACAGGAAACACAGGTACTAATGGCACATATGACGAAACAAGAGCAACATTACCGCTGCCATTTTCATGACAAAGGCGGCCATGTTGGCGCGAAGTTTGAGTGGATGACGAGGACTGGAGACACAAACATTGTCTCACAGACCTACTGTTTACCTCTCGCTACTTCTAAC